CACAACTTATCACGCGTTTCCTAAGGGCTGTCAAATATTATTAAACGCCTATTAAACTTACGTTTTCAACTACATATATCATAATCGGTTTACACTGAGAACTTGAACGAAAGCGAAAAATAAAAGGGACATTTCCACAAAAACCTCTTCTTTACTAAGCAGTAGTGTCCGACCGAAACTGGTTTTCCGGCCGAAACCGAAACCGAAACCGAACATTCGGCCGTGGCTTCAGTTTCGGCCGAAACCGAAACCGAAACCGAAACTCACGTGGTCAAGTTTAAAATTCCTTAAAATACTGAAATTTGGTCCATTTCACCGATTATTCTGCATTAATTAGGGCATGAAATGGAAACACAGTATTTTAATTTTGTTCTTATCAGTTATTTAATATAATATAAAAAAATATTAAAAAAAAAATACAAATCAAGTTCTCATAGCAAAAGGAGATTGCTCAGCTTCCATACATGTTTGGCCTAAAGACCAATAATCATGAAAAATTGTTTCCTAGATTCGAAATTATATATAAATTACTGTAAAAACTAATATTATTGACGGACACCCCTGAGAACTTCTATAAACCATATACACTGAACATATTAAAATAATAAAAAACAAATAAGTTATATAGTAAACTAGGGAAGCCAAGTACCGAAATTATGGATTAGATTCAGGTATATAGAGCATGTAGATTAACAGATAGTTGCATGTTTTTAAAGTTAATGCATAAGAGTAACTTTTAAAATCAGGTGTCAATATGCATTTCCGGTTATAAGGTACTCTGTGACAGAAACTGTGATGATTGTGAATGAGCCACAGATTAGAGAGAATTTTTCAACTCTCGTTAACCAAAGAAAGCTAAGAGGTTTAGGTTATATAGCCATATATTCAGTAGCTTCATTTTTTTGTGATTGTGTGTGTGATTTTTAGTGTATCACACCTTATAATTTTATTTATTTATAGTCAGGCAACGTAGGCTCATAAGTAGATACCTTAAAGTATAAACAGATTATAATGTGTTTATGGAGGTGTTTGGCGAAAAATGTATGGCAATAGACTTTATGATGTCGCCTACCATCTATAATAATTGTCTGAGCACATTTGCATGTAGTGAAAATGATAATATAGTTGTGGATATTAATACCACAGTGTAGTAAAAAAAATATTTATTTTATCGATCTTTACAAAATAGATTTGTCTTTATGTTATATAAACAACTTCGATCAGTCTTTGGCTGAATGTTACTACACCCATAGCCTTTAAAAATGATTCATATGTTTTCCAAACCGGTAAAATGAAAAGTCCTTTTTAAAGTGAATATATTATACAAAGGTGTCCGTTGAAATCTAATGACTGTAAATTAAATTACAAATTACGCCAAGAATTACCGTGTATGTCAATATTTTTTGTGCATTTGGGCCAATTTGAGCAATCTCCTTTTTATCAGCTTTATCAATAATCAAATCACTAATTTTTACTGTTTCATTAAATACTAAGTATTGGTATTTTGAAATCTTATTAATACTTTGGTTTGTATTTGTACTTAGAAGAATCATAAATCTCTTAGAAGTTCCATCATAACATAACCTCTAAAGAATGTTTGCAACGGGCGATAACGCACTAAGTTGTGTGTGCTACGGAGCTATCCGAACGGCGCACGAGAATTCCCGATCAGGGCCGCCAGCGTCCGCCAATGCGTTGCCGCGAGAAACGAAGTTAAGCGAGCCTGCACGACAACTTCCGTAATCAGTTTCGGTTTCGGCAAAAGTTTCGGCCAATTTTGGCCGAAACCGAAACTGCCGCCGAAACTTGATTTTTGGCCGAAACTCGGCCGAAACCGAAACCGAACCTTCGGTCGGACACTACTAAGCAGCTTAATTGCATAGATAAATAAGTAACTGAAAGTCAATACCGTGATAAAAAATACCAATATCTATGTATTACTGGATTGCGGAATACCGGTATTGAGAACCCTATAAGCTGAACCACTTGCGTTATGATAATCGGAAACAATAAGGTAGCCCTCCTCGGATCCTGTAGATTGTTTTTCTATATTCAGCCGAAGCCATATTAAGAAATCTTAATGAGAATCATTTTTTGCGAGAGAAAGAGACGTCGTCAGAATATTATTATATATTTTTTCCAAAGTAAGCACTGTAAGGCTTGTGTTATGGGATCCTAGGGTAACGGATAGAATACATATACTGTACATATATAAATATAGAAATACATATTAAACATCCATGACTGGATTATAAATGGTCGTATTCATCACACAAACATCTGCCCCCCACCGGGATTCGAACCCGGGATCTCTCGAGTCGGCGACACCATGTAACCCGGCGTTTAATCCCCTTGGACACGCAGGTCGTCAAATAAAACAAAAACTGCTACCTTATTATATTATAAATTATTTTAACATACAACTAAATACAATACAAAAACTTTTTATTGTACACCACAAAAAACATTGAACATTAAGTACAAAACCAACACGTGATGCAATGGGCAGCCTTATCGCTTAAAGCGATTTCTGCCAGGCAACCTTTGGATGGAGAGGGTTAGAAGGAAGTAGGAGAGACGGCGGTGTAAATCGCAAGTAAAATATATAATATATTAGTATATACATACATACACCATACACATATAAAATATATAATACAAATACATACATTGATCCAGTCCAGTTAGGAGGTAGTTGTAAGCACATCAGATATTAAAATAAAAGTATAACAATGTCAGAAAATAGGAATTCAGACGGTTTTTAAACGTATAAATAGTTTCCGCACGTCTTATCGAAACCGGAAGAGAATTCCATAGATGTACAGCATATACTGCAAACGAACGATGGAAATAGAAAGAAGAACTAAATCTGCTGGGAATACCTAGGTTTCCCCAAGAGGTGCTTACATTGTAGCTATCTCGGCCCTGAGTGAGTACCCGTTATTTCATATCCGCGTTCGAATCTGCATGAATTCGACTTTATTACTGTTCTGCACTTCCTGCTTCTGAGTTGGTGGAGAGATGTTTTGTCAACAACATTGTCCTCTTAAGGATGAGCGGTTGGCCATGCACTCTTGGCATTGATGTAAATAGATGCAAAAAGCTATTTCAAGATCATTGTTTTTATAATAAATACAATTATTACCTACATTGTAGGCAGGAGTAATGTTGCATTGCATAAATAATATTCCAACCAATTTTGACAGCCCCGTAATCGTATCGTCATCGTCAGTTTCTATGAAAACTAGGCAGCGCCTCTACCGTACGTAATTACCAACTGGCTCCTTCCATACAACATGTGACGATGACGATACGATTACGGAGCTGTCAAAATTCGGCTTGGGCATCTGTTTTACTGAACTGCGGTTTATTCTTGTAAAAGAAATACTATGTATAACTTTAAACTAATGTCAAAAGTGGTTCAGCTTAGGGCTATTATCCGTATATTGTTTTAAACTTTCATGGTCACTAACATAATAGTAATATAAGTTATTTACGGGATTTTTACCATATAATATCGGGAACTCGCTAAAAACAAGTTACATGGTAACAATCCCGTAAATAACTAATATTACTATAATAATAATCTTTATTTCTGTACCATGACGTTATACAATATAACAATTAAGCGTTAACAACCGTAGTAGTCTAAGACTGTGTTACAGTTATTATATAGTCGTGGTCAAGTCACAGTGGGTACAGATTGTGAAGTACAGATTGTAAAGTGGGTACAGATGGACCCAGCCCAGGGGGGGGGGAGGGGTCATGACCTCCATGACACTCCCCTGGATCCGCCCTGGAGTGTGGATGCACTGTAAGATCTTTAAATTATACGCTATTGTATTATCTTTAGTCTATAATATGACATATATTATAAACTTAAATATAGATACATTATGCTAAAATATACTAAACCTGTTTATTGAAATATGGTGTATTCATTACAAAAAAAAAACAAAAACCCCATAAAATGAGACCAATCCATAATAAATTTAATGTGCTATTATTGTATTGTGGTATGGATATGGGAAGATAATTGTTATGCGTTTATGTATATTTACTAATCTTTTAAAGTTTTTATGTTGCTCTAACCTCCTCCGTAAGACATGTAAAGATGTGAAGTGAAAATCCTGTGACGTATCAAGAACAGGGTTATTTGTGCTTATTAGAATTCTTAGCACGACACCTTTTAATATGACATTGAAATATATTTACATACACCTCAAACGGGATTTAAGTTTTTAACTTAAAACTGGCTTGAAGGTTGAGTTGTAATAAGACCATTAGGAGTCGGATCACGTATTTGTTTCGTTAAAAAAAAAATATCGAACTCTTTTCCGCGAAATTGTCTATTGAATGACAGAATTGTCCTCAGATGGTCTAGATCTTTCTGCAGATAAAAAGCTGAGTGTACCACTTTTATCAGGAACTATGGATATTAAAAATAGTTTATAAAAAGAGCCTGTGTTTCTCGGCACGTGAGACAGAAGTGATAACTTAGTGTCGCTGCACACGGGCCACCGACCACAACCACAAAACGCCGCCACCGGCATATTTCTTGTAGTTTTCATACATTTTATATGGACTCGTCACACACGGTACACCGGTGGCCGCCACACGCTACAAATCGTCGTTGCTCGCTTCTTGTGGCCCGCACCGGCCACTTAATGCGCCGATAAACGCCGCGATTCCCCACCCTTCTCTCCCTTACCTTAGTCGGCCGCTGTCGCGCGCTTCAGCCACTTTAGTAGCCGCTTCTAGCTTCTCGTGGCGGCGTTTGTGGCTGTGGCCCGTGTGCGGCGACACTTAAACTAATCTAAGCGGCGCTGCGAGTTAGAGTGAGAGAGGAGGAGCCTGCCTACCGATGCCGTATGCGTAAGAGAAGAGAAGCCAAACAGACTGGCGCCCTAACGCGAAACGTAACAAAGCTGTTTACCCTCCCATAAGTCGTTAGCACATCAAAAAACTTGTTTACTAACTTTCATTTTTGTTTGGTGCAGCGCGGTTTCCCGTTTGATGAGGAGGAAGGGTCGGGCGCGTGGAGCGAGCTCGCGGCGCGGCATCCGGACATAGCGGCGCGCCTGCGCCAGCGACCCGCCACCTGGGCCAACAAGCGGCGCCCCTCCAGCCAAGACGCCACTGACGGTAAGTTAACAGCTCCGCAGATACACTCAACACATCACATGCATGAGATTTTTATGGACCCACAAGTAACTATATCAAATAACAATGGTACATGATGTGTTGAATAGTCACTCCAGGGCTTGTAACCGGTTTCGAAAATACCGGTAAATAAAGGTTAATACCGGTTTTTAGTAAAGGTTTCGTTCGGAGCGCGTCCGAAATGAAAGCGGTATCTAAAACCTTAATAAACCTGTTTAATCCAGAGCGACACGTGCACGCGTCGGTATCGCTTGAAGTTTGTTTTGTTTGAACTAATCAAGTCACAACTTGTTAATGCTCAGAGATTGATGCATTTATTGACACGTTTGCTAGCGTCTAGTGATTCAAGTTATTCATTTATTATCAATGCCGTCAGAAAGAGCGAAATGAAACCCTTTAAAAACCGCCAAATTGATTCAAAACCTATTTGATTTCGCTCTTTAGGAAAACCGGTTTTTAAGGCCAAACCTAAATAAAACGCTCCTAATGTACTTGACACTGATTTAGGTTTGAAAATTAACCGGTAAACAAGCCCTGAGTCACTCTTTAAAAGAACGCGCTTGGAGGCAAAGTGTCATCCCTGCTCATTTCTTCCACTCTGGACTCGGTAAAATGTGTAGCCTTCCCTACGGATCAGCATCATCAACCTATTAATGTTCCCACTGCTGGGGCATAGGCCTTCCCTGTGGATGGAATAGGGAGATTGGGCCGTGACCCACCACGCGGGCCCAGTGCGGATTGGCAGGTGCTAACGACTGCAGATGCAGCTGGAAAAAGCGCTATCGAGCTTTTCACGGATCATGCTTTCCTTACTGGATAGGAACATTGGACTTTGATTCACCGCGCAGTTTATTGGCGCTCACCGCGCAGTTTATTGGGCGCTCACGACTACAGATGTAACCGGCACCAAGTACTTAAAGTGCCTTCAAAAGCATGGAGGAGCTAGAGATAATAAGTTTTGGTAGCCAACTTATAATCGGCTATGACGAAAGTGGCTCAACTTCCACAATTGCAGACCGAACACGCGGTAACATTGCGCTATCGAGGTTCTTATCGGCTCAATACTCATACGAAACGTCCTTTCGTAGAATGTCCTTTTCGTTTTCATTTACTGCTGAAGTAAAGAATACAGCTAACTTTTATTGATAATGAAATTACTAGATCTCCAAGCTCCAAATACAATAACACAAGATTCATAATTCCTAATACATTATGAATAATTCATGCATAAAATCTACTGAACATGGAAGAGAAAACATATCTGCTAGTCTTTTTAAAACGATAAGCCCTTTCGTAGAAAAAACAGTATAGGCAATTTAGTTGTAAATGTAGAGCATTTTGCGAATTGGAAAGTCTATTTTTGAGCTGATATATAATCCAATATAATCATTTTTCTGACTTGATTCGTCCAATCATAACAGATTATTCAAATTCAATTGTTTTGCCTATTGCAGGTTGTGTAAACAAACGTTTCATTATTTCGACAGATTTCGGCGACAACTTCAGCGGCTTCGACAGATTCCCCTTCGACGACATCCCGCCAGAGTTCAGAGAACACTTTCCGTCACACTGGAACCGCAGGTTCGCTCCCCGTGACGAGCCACAGACTCAGCCAGCGCCGGAAAGGCCACAACCCCAAACCCAACAGCAGCCACAACAACAGCAATCGTCGCCGAACCAACAGACCACATCCACTCAGACTGAACAAGACCCCGGACCCTCGACACAGACGCACCTTCCACAGTACGGCCTAAGAAACACGGTCGATCTCGGCCAAAAGAGCCCAGCCGACCCCAGTTTAGTCGATGCAGACGACAGGAACCAGAGGTCTATGTCAGCGCCCCCCGACGGTTGTACACCTAACCAAAGCCACGCGCCCAACATGAGTGCACAGAACCACCAGGATCAACACCAGGGGCATCAGCCCCAACACTCCGACCACCAGCAGTCGAACGTCCGCCACATACCGATATTCGTCGAAGGTCGCGACGAGCCCGTGATCAATAAGAACGTGGACCACGGTACCCACTACGGCGAGTCCAAACCCCAGTATGCGCCTCCCCCGCAGCCGCAGCAGCCTCAGCCGCACATCGAACGAGAACAGTACTTCCCGGACGACGGACCAGTTTTCCATCCGCCGCCGAATTTCTCCAGGGCGTTCGGAACGCCCTTCAACAAAGGCTTCAGACAGGGCCCGCAGCCCTTCCAGCAGCAGAAAGTTTACCCGCAAACGGCGTTCACGCGGGGCGCGTCGCCGCAGAGATCTCAATCGCCCAAGCCTCAGATGCACCCGGAGGAGCACTTCGTGAAAGTTCCTGTACACCACGAGCACGCGGCGCCCAAGCCCGAGCCCCAGCCCCGCCCTCAGCCCAAACAGCAGCCGTCGCCGCCCCAACACTCGCAGCCGCCCCAACAGGCCCCGCCCAAGCAGCAGACCCCGCCGCCCCAACCCAAACCGCAGCCCTCCCCCAACGATCCCATCACGCTGATCCTCAGCATCCAGACTGACGTTCTGAACCTCATGACCGACGTCGAAAACTTTACCGGCTCCAAAAAAGACAAGAGGTATCTGTTTTTGGACGAGATGCTGACGAGGAATCTCATCAAACTAGACAATATCGAAACGGACGGCAAGGAAAACATCAGGCAGGCGAGGAAGGAAGCGATCAAATGTATCCAGAAGTGCATAGCGGTGTTGGAAGCCAAAGCGGAGAAGGGGGGAAGCGCGCCGCAGCCTCAAGATGTCGAAATGAATGAGGGCGCGGCCGCGGCGACGGAAGAGAAGGCCACCGAAAACGGGGTCGAGGTGGAGATGAAAGATGCGCCCAAGGAAGAAAAAGTTGAGGAGCCTCAAGCTGCCAAGCGAGAGCCCGCTCCTCAGGAGGAAACTCCTAAAGCGGCCGAGCCGGAAACTAAAGTAGCGGCAGCCGAACCTCAAGCGGCCGACACGCGGCCCGAGGAAACGAAACCGTCCGAAACTACTCCAGAGGAGAAGAAGAACGAGGAGGTCGCGGATAAGAAGGCGACTCCTAAGAAAGGTACGAAAAATGTAAAGAAACGGGACAAGAGCAAAGATAGCAAAAAGGAAACTAAAGATAGCAATAAAGAACAGTCTGCCGAGGAGCAGAAGTCCGAAGCGAAGGCGGAAGGGATGCAAATAGACGATAAAGGCGACAAAACTGAGACGCAAACTATGGACGTGGACGGTGCTGCTAGTCAATAAATTTAGCTTTGCCTTAGAGAGATTATAGATACACCTTATTCGATGCACGGGCTCTGCCTCCCTTCCTCTTCGTGTTAATGAATTTGTGTATGAATAACACAGTGTTGACATGTATAGTGTTTGTTTGTACAATTTATGTTTTTAATATTAAAACGAGATGTGTAAAGGAGTTTGTTGTCCTTTAGGATTCGAAACGAACTGTGTTTGAATCCTAATATTTAATTTAATTTATTGTTTATCATTAATTGATAACAACATTTAAATAATAAATATAAGTTCACAATTTTGGCTTTTATTATTTTGTTCTACGTAGATACTAGTTCTATTCAAAAAAGGACAGGGAAGAAATCTATTGAAAATAAAAAACAGCAATACAATAGGGTAGATAATTTTATTCATTTATAATAATATATTTTCAGTATCATTATATTCATATTATACTTACATACCTACGTTAATATATCACAGAAATAACTATAAGTACTTAGAGTATGATGACGTAATATTTATGTTTAATTACAAATGATTATTTAAACATAATAAAATAATGTAATGGCAATCAGGAAAACAATGAGAACTTATAGCTTAGTATATATTTTATTTCAGTCATTCGCAAATGTACAATTCGCAAAAGAGGTATGACAATTTATAATATACTTCCCTGAGAATCTAATTTAATTTAGCCTCGAGACAATGTTTATTGCAAACATTTGAATGTTCGTACAAAGATTATAGATGACTTAGTGTGGCGGCGACATCTACATGCCCCACATATAATCAAAATGGGGGAAATAATCACACGCCTCCTCAAGAGATGCCGCTACCGGTGCTGCGAACGTATGGAAGCCTACATCGCGCAAGAGAATTTCGGAGGCTAACACTCCCATATAATGATATATACAATGCCCGACCAACATCAGTAGAGCCGCGGCCCCTGAGCTACCATCAGATCTTCCCCTTTGACCTTCCTACAATAGTTTACCTTAATAGCAAAAATGTAAGTCACCATGGTTGGGTCGACGAGACTTATTCCAATAAACTATTGATACAAGGGTTAAGCGGGTGTTCGGAGGACACTTTATATCTGCCAAAATCCATCTAAATCGATTCAGCGAGATTAAGCAACTACACATAACAGAGATGATTTCGTATTTATAGTGCGAGTATAATATCGCGCCTCAATAAACGACAAATCGGAAATGGCGACGCAAGACATATTTTAACGCCGTGTTCGAGGCGGGTTATGCATCATCATTAACCTATAAATGTCCCCACTGCTGGGGCACAGGTCTTTCCTATGGATAAATTAGGGTCACGCGGGTCCAGTGCGGATTTACCGGTGTTAACGACTGCTTAACGTGCCTTCCCAAGCACGGAGGAGCTCGAGATAGTAAACTTTTGGTCACCCATCCAATGACTGACCACTGCGAAAGTTGCTTAACTTCCACAATCGCAGGCCGAACGCGCTAACCACTTCTTACTCCCATTCCTTCATAACGCGGTCCCAGTCCTCATCCGCAATGAAAGGTTTGTCTATACAGTTGATCATATATTCGCCACAGAACACACATTCACTCGCCACAATATCGTCCAGTTCGTTGCGCAGAACTTCCCGTAGAGGCAACCCGCTAGATGTCGCTGTCGATAGCTCTATGTTTGACAATACTGACAGTTGACGTTGCAGTTCTGACAGCTTGTTGCGACGCGCGGGCCCTGGGGATAATAAAACGAATGGTGATTTGGTTAAAACATTGGTGTCAATTCTGACAAGATTGTCTTAACTTAAAACTGTGAGAGAAATATTTTATTAACCATCAACCTTAGATTAAAACAAAAAGGGAAGATATGATACACTCATATTAGCATCAAATAAAATATGATCTGACTCAACTACAAAAGCAACTCTCACACACACATATGTCTGTAAATAAACATTCAATCGAGCGAGCGAGACAGAACTGTACCCTTAGCACGAACCAAAATCGAATTCGTAACGTTTGCGAGTCCGAAATGTCATTGTCAAATGTGTACTGATTTTTAGTTCCCGTTACGTCTAAGGTGCCGCTGCTGTTCAAGTTTCCATACAAAATTTGACATTGACATTTCGGTTTGCAAACTATTCGAATTCGAAAATGGTACAGTACGCTTCAACGCAACGCGAGCGAAATGGCGAGTCCGCTTCCGAGTCCGTACGGCTGAGCTGTATTGTTGTCCTTTTCTTGATAACAGCATGGAGATTACGTAAATAACATTCACGACAAACAGTAATATTTGAGAAAAAAAAAATTACAGCATACGAATGAAAATTGTTGCCGAGGCATTTATTATTTGATTTTGAACAATTTGTGTTCTTTATAAAAGTATCGAAGGCATTATTGTATCTATATAACACAGAATATACGCAATATTATTATATTGAGTGCACATGCATCGTCTTTGGATGTCCTATTGTGATTAAAGCGAATTAAGGTCATGCACCACAATTTAAGAGGATCACTTTTGAGCCGCGAATGCCGCGTCTTCCCTTTTTGATGTGTAACATCTTTCCTCTCGCTTTCCTGCAATTTGTGGGAGTGATTTCGTGAAATGGGACGGAAGTGTGTAACAGGAAGTCGCGAAAGCGCGCTTTATTTGATTTGATTTTAGAACATATTGTTCGAATGGCCTATTTATAAAATAAAATATTCCTTTTGTAGATTTTTTTTTTACTAATATAAGGTGAGGTTTCAAATGTTACACATACGCGACTACTGTAATTGTCGCTCGTTTTTATTGTTTTAATCTAAGGGACATGATTATCTTCAGACCGATCAAGATTCGTCGACCTGAAATACCTTGGTGGTTTTTGCGTCAACGGAAGATTTTTAATTCTCGTTACGTCCGTTGTGGCGCTCATCAAATTTAGATACAAAACTTCTTGACATTTGACGCGCATCAGTTCAAGCATATCTACAGTTTTACTCTATGACGGAGTTAGCAACACTGACTGTAAATGTCAAATCAGTTAGCGTATAGGGTATTTGACAAGTTTTAGAAAACGATCTTACGCTATTGACTAATGTTTATGGAGTCCGTAAAAAGTGGATATTCATCATTCTGTTGTATATTTCAGTAAAAATAACCAAATCGAAAACTCCATTTTCAAGTTCTGGACAATATGGCGTCTTACTAGTGTGTGACGTCACACGACTGTTATTAAACGTCAAACGATACAATGTAATGTCACTTTAACCGGAAGTTTACTTGCTTGTGACGTCATTTAAGGCTCCGCCTATCCCAAGCGTTTTGGGTCACGTGACAATAGATAAGAAAACTATTACCGAGTAACTGCGGGTTACTTTGACCTAAAATGTGCACTTATTTTTCAAATAAAATTGTAGCTTCTCTTTGCGATGAATATGTCACGTTTAAATCTTGCCATTTTGAACTTTAAAGTATAAGTTACAAAGTTATCATACGAAAATAGGAACAAATAATATTTAAGGGTTAGTATTATATATTTTTTTAATTTTGGGTCAAAGTTGGCCTTAAAGAGGGTTACTTTAGCCCGTTGACTTTTCTCTGTGAAAAAAAAAATTCATTTTAAGCCATGTTGGGGTTAAGGAACCCTTATAACAGATCACCATTAGCATACTGAATACACAAATTAAGTTAAATATAACTTGAAATTCAGAAAAAATAGTAAACTTACCGAAAACCACAGTTCTGAGAAAGTTTGCGCATGAACTTGCGAACTATTTCAGTTACAAAAAATCCCGGGTTACAATGACAACTTGATACAGGAACGATGTCGGTGAAACAACACCACACTACGCGCCTATATGGCTATCAGTGATTTTCAACTGGAACTATTACGGTCACCCAAGAGATACTGACGGGGCGGCAAGTTCAATATTTTTTCTGATCTGGGACAAAGTTACCCGCCCGAGCTAAAGTAACCCTCACTTACGGTATCTTTTTCGTTAGTTTTTAAGTAAAATTATGAATATTTTTTTGTACAAAATAGTAAAAACCCCTGCTAATATTCATTCTAAAGACAGATGCTAACAATTGGCACTATATTTTTAACACTGTCAAATACCCTATGGGCCACTAGTCTGCATACAGACACTCACCCAGAGAGGGCTGCACTTCAGCCAGCAGGCAGTCGGCGTGCAGCCGGTGACCGCAAGGAAACAGGTAGAAGGGCCGCAGTAACAAAGCTATATCGCAGAGGCTGCAGGCTTCCGAAGCTGCTACCAATGCGGATCGACCACGGAACGAAACGATCTCACCGCGCACCTAGAAAAACAAAAGTCACTTCTTGAGCTTAGACCGAAAATTAGAAAGGTGATCATATTTGCACGAGGTTTATCCACATCATCATCATCATCAGCCTATTAATGTCCCCACTGCTGGGGCACAGGCCTTCCCTATGGATGGAATAGGGAGATTGGGCCATGACCCACCACGCGGGCCCAGTGCGGATTGGTGGGTGCTAACGACTGCAGATGCAGCCGGGACCAACGGCTTAACGTGCCTTCCGAAGCACGGAGGAGCTCGAGGTAGAAATTTTTGGTCACCCATCCAATGACCGACCACTGCGAAAGTTGCTTAAGTTCAACGATCGCAGCCGAACGCGCTAACCACTTGCCCCATCGAGCTCCTCTTTTAGAGGTTTATCCACGTCGAATACTAAAGTCGAGTCTCTACAATTACGCCGCGATTTGGAATCATAAAGTGCATCCTACCGACTATAACACGGCTAGTGTTCTGAGGAGTTATTCTCCCTTATCCCTCCATCACCTTTTCTTCAGAGGGCCACCAACTTACTGTGGCCACTATTCCTACACGAACAAAGAAATTTGGTGACTCATTTCTTTGTCGTACTATTCGTAAGTGGAATTCTTTGCCCGCGCACGTGTTCCCTCCTTCCTACAATCTGAGGTCCTTTAAGAGAGGCGTAAAGAAGCATTTTTGCGGGCGGCAAGGTGAGGATGGTCTGTGTGGTAGTTTCTAACTGCTGTACCAGCTCTCTTCACGTTTAGACTTTATCACCACTTGACATTAGTTAGGGTAGAGTCATTTGCCTACCTGGCTATATAAAAAAATACTTATGTAAGTCAACGGTATTTAACCCCCTAGATACACAACGTGCACTCGAAATGTGTCCCAATCAAGAAGTGCTTGAACACGACTCGAGCACCACTTGGTTTACAGTCACGCGCGGACCGTTGAAAGTCAAGATGCCACAGAGCTCCGGGATAAAATGCGAAAAAATACTTACAGTACGTATTGTTCTTTTTTATTTACAGATATCTAATCAATGTTTTTTAATTCAATGCATTTGAGGCCAATTTTGTTCTAATACTTACTATAAAAGTAATTTAATAGAAAATATATGTTTAAATCTAAAAAAAGTTTACTAGAAAAAATTCCACGCGGACCAGGCAGCAGACGGGACTCGGACCAACAACAAATTAACATAAAACACCAAGAAAAACATAACTAGAAAATATTTATAATATTCAAATGCATAGTCGGTCGTATAGCCATCTCTTTTCCTCGCGCTCCATACCAGCTATATTACTAACAGCGCATTCAGAATTACGATATAGTGTCATAGAAATAAAGTCTATATTCATCCGCCTATAGCAACAAGTCATACAATTTTATGAGCTTGCATTTCGAACTGTCATAACTGTTTGACGCATGCGTTTAGATTAAGACCTTATTTAATATGTATTAATAGTGACTTTGAATATTGAAATAATGCCTTATATTGTTTTTGACTACACGATCCCCTTACGGAGCTCCGTCGATCGTCCAATGTACATTTTGGACAGGTTTCGGCCATGATTTTGTTCGTGATGTTGTATCTAGGGTATTAAATATCGTTGATGTAAGTACACTAGTTTAATTTTTTCAGTTTTAGCTTTTATAAACACATATTTTAAATGGATATGTATGTGCACTAGATTTCAAGAAATGTATGTATGATGAATACTAACACTGGGACCCAAAATATGTTTCTACAAAAATAAACTTATTTAAACATTATTAATGTATTTCTATATTACCGTCGTATGAAATAAACTAAGCCTTAGGGCGTTTGTTAACGAGACGACTTACCGCCGAGTCTAGGTTTTAAACCGTATCTTCAACGATATTAAATACCCAAGATACACCAACACAAACAAAATTGTGCTCGAAACCTGAAAAAAAAGGTACATCGGGCGATCCACGAGACTCCGTAAGATGATCGCTTTGTCGAAAACAATATAAGGCATTATTTAAACAGTAATATTTAAATATAAGTCACCTTTAATGCATACTAGATACGGTCTTAATTAAAACGTATGCGTCAGAGTTATGACAGTTATTAGAAATGCAAGCTCGTAAAATTTTACGACTTATTACTATATGCGGAAGAATATTTCTATATTTATAGACCTTATTTCTTTCACTCTATGTGCAATTCTGACTGCGCCGTTAGCAATATAGCAGGTACGGACCACGAGGAAAAGAGATGGCCATACATTTGAATATCACAAATATTTTCTATATCAGTTTTTAGTAAGTATTAGAACAAAATTTGCTTCAAATGCTTTAAATTAACGGACATTGAATTGATGAAACACTCTACGTACCATAAGTATTTCTTTCGCAATTTTTCCAGAGCTCTGCGACATGTTGACTTTTCAACGGTCCGCGCATGACTGTGTACCAAGAAGTGCTCGAGTGGTGTTCAAGCACTTCTTGATTGGGACACATTTTGAGCACACGTAGTGCATCTAGGGTATTTAATATCGTTGCGTGTCTATTATTTATCTTATTACAAATTGAGATAAATAATTTCTAATCACTTGTCAAAGATTTTTTTTATGTTAATCTTACATATTCAGCAGATTTCGTAGCGTCTTCCATTTCGGATTTCAGTTCTTCTATCTGGTTGTTGTATTCCTGAAACAAAGTATAGAATATAGTATAGAATTTATAAATAAAAATGACCGCGTTCGGCTCAGATTGTTAAAAAAATAAAGAAATTAAGCAACTTTCGCAGTGGTGGTGGTTCATTGGATGAAAAATGAAAATAAAAAATTGTTTATTTCTTTATAACATAATGTTACAATCAGTCATTTTTTTTTAATGCAAAATAGGCAATGCGTTGAGTCCTCCAAATAAAACCTGTATCAGGAGATCGCGCTCTCTCATCACTGCAGGTAAGTATCTAGATCATGCTATTTATACAATAATCGCAATCACTTTTCTTAAGTTAATATAACATTATTGAAATAAACAAAATATTAAATAAAATTATTATACAAGACTCACAATCCGAACTGTTAAAATTGCCAATATTTCATTGGAGGTATGTGTATATATGTATATGTGTGTGTGTTTGTGTGTTTAGGTGTGTTTAGATATTTTAGTAGCTAGTATCACTTTATCATATCCCGTTTCGGTGGTCATGCTAGAGGGGCTGATCAATTAAGCCAGTACGTCCAGTTCGGCAGTTTCAAAGTTATAGACTTATTATATGCAAAATATTTAAAAAAATTACCTCAAGCGATTGGCAGATGGGTTCTCTGAAATGGTCTATGGTTACCACGTCGCTGAAGAACGGCAGGATGTCCTCGATCTTGATCAGAGGACACTCCTTGAGGAAGCTCATGGCTTCCTTCAGGTCTTGGTTCTTGGTGATCACGTGCTCCGCTGACAAAAAACAATAGAAAACTGAGCTAAAGGACATTTATATATGGAAAATGTAACTTCGGTAGCTTTTTAAATTAATATATACTTATATTTTATTTATAAATAAAAGAAATAACGTGTGTTTTCTCATATTTGTTTCTTAGGTTTTCATGCACATCACTCATTAAATAAAACTAGTTTTTACGGGTTAATGCACGAAACTTTATTCATTTATTGACGTTTCGTAGCCTTTACAGGCTTCGTCGTCAGAATAAAACTTTTATTTAATCTTTCGAAGGTGGCTCGACAAATTAAATAAAAGTTTTATTAGAACATATGTGATTTGCACTTGTATGAAACTCAAACACGTATTCCGAATATACAAACTAGAAACATGTGGATAAATATTATAAATATGAATACCTATAACTGTTACTTTATTACAAAAAATAAAGATGTGGTTTTTGGTTCTACTACACCAATGGTCAAGAGATGGCGCTGTAGTCTCCTGAATCGCGCTTTGGTTCCGTTGTTCCAGATTAATAAATACTTTTGATAGGCCTTCACAATGCAGTCGTTAGCACCCACTAAATAGATTCTATTTCTATTTTGTTGGTAGATTTTCTTAATGTGCGGTAAACACAAAAGTAACGCATGAAGTTGGTCGCTTTAGCGACCAACTTCATGCTGTTAAAATTTTGTGTTACAGTGATGCGCGCGCATCTTAAAATTTCACTCTCATCATTTTTTCATAACGCGCCTAAAGAAGTATAACTTCAAAAATACATCAATAAGGATGGTGAGGGGGTAAAGTAAACGAAATTCTATTTAGTTTATCAGTTTAATAAAAAAAAAATGGTGTCGACACTGGCATGATTCTCTTAACCTTAAAATTAAATTTGACAACAGCTTATCCTTGTCATACTCTATGCATAATGAAAAGGAGAGACTGATGTTAAATTTAGTTACAGGTTTAGAGAACCATGCTAGATCCACCATGAAGTGCCGCTATGAAGGTAGACACTAAACTCGTACCTATGTTGAGCCACATCTGGCACTGGTCTCCGTATCTTGCAGCATGTCAGGAACCGTCTTGGCCAGCGCTAGATCTACCATGAAGTAAAGACACTAGACTCGTACCTATGTTGGCTACATCTGGTGCTGGGTCTTCCTATCTTTCGGCGTGTCGGGAACTGTCAAGGCCAGCGCTAGATCCATCTTGAAGTGGCGCCATAAAGAAAGTATGTCGAGTCACATCTTAGTCTTGGCTAGCGCCAGATCCACCATGAAGGAAACGCTAGATTTACCATTACAACAAACATATGACTCGTACCTATGTTGAGCCACATCTAGCGCTGCGTCTCCGTATCTTGCAGCATGTCAGGAACCGTCTTGGCCAGCGCTAGATCCACCATGAAGTAAAAACACTAGACTCGTACCTATGTTGGCTACATCTGGTGCTGGATCTCCCTATCTTGCGGCGTGTCGGGAACTGTCTAGGCCAGCGCTAGATCCATCTTGAAGTGGCGCCATAAAGAAAGTATGTCGAGTCACATCTTGGTCTTGGCTAGCGCCAGATCCACCATGAAGGAAACGCTACATTTACCATTACAACAAACATATGACTCTTACCTATGTTGAGCCACATCTGGCGCTGCGTCTCCGTATCTTGCGGCATGTCAGCGATTGTCTTGGCCAGCGCCAGATCCACTTGTAGCGCCAGTTCTACCGCCGCCTCCCACAACTCCAGCAGTGCGGACAACTTCACGCACGCTTGTGACAAATTCTTCTCGCGACACAATCTGAGATCAAGATTTTTTTGAAAATCAAAAACATTTATTCAGTCTAGCCTATAACAAGCACTTGTGAAGGTCAAGAAGCTACGCCATCGGTTCTCAAAACTACGGCGGGAGACCTTGTACTGAGAAGAACCGGCAAGAAACTCAGCAAGGGCTGTTTTTTTCTCCCTGTATCGTTACATACAGAGTCGTCAAGTTGAAAAATGACTTCAGAGATACTTCTGAAGTCACCTTCCTTTATTAGACGGGGACTTATTAGGATTTTGCTGTCACGAAAAAGCGTTACGTCCGGTCCGCGTGAAGGGGGTAGACGATATATTGCGCGGTGAGAGGCGACAGCGGCGGAAGGAGAGACAGTTTCACTTCAACTAAGTATCCAAGCACCCATTTCGATTTTTTTTGGGTTTTATTGAGCAAATCTAACTGGCCAATACTGGTGGACATTATTTTGCAAGTAGAACTATTGAATTTTATTTAGAAGACGAGTGGCCCGCCCTCGCTTCGCTTCGGTGTAGAGCTGTAGTGTAGATTTAAATGACTCTTCATATAAGTAACTAGCGGCCCGCCCTCGCTTCGCTTCGGTGTAGAGCTGAAGTGTAGACTACAGTTTTTGTTCTCAGGCTTGTAATCTACACATCACATTTATCTATGATTCTTCTTATACCTGCATGCAAAGTCTCAGCCCGATCGGTTTAAAATTGACAAAGTTTCATACAAACTTTCATTCCCTATTTTATCCCCTTGGGGGTAGAATTGATCCTATGTCTGGATGCCTAAGTCATAACATCTACCTGCATGCCAAATTTCAGCCCGATCCGTCCAGTGGTTTGGGCTGTGCGTTGATAGATCACTATGTCAGTCAGTCACCTTTGAGTTTTATATGTATAGATTATAAAAAAAAACTGAAAATGGTATATTTGCCTTTTCCAAACTTCTATTGACATCACGTCGTTTAATTGTTTTTCCTTCCCAGAATCTCTCTACTAACATTTGAAATTTATTGTATGGTATTAAAGTTAAGTATTATTACGAATCGTTTGTATGGGAGTATAGAAAAGTGTTGTTTTTGGACATTTTCAGGCAATTTTTTTAATTTTTCTCGGCATAAGAACCATCCTCGTACTTCAAGGAATATTTAAAAAAAAAAGAATTATCGAAATCGGTTCAGCTGTTCTCGAGATTTGCGTTTAGCAAAATAGCAACACATTCAGTGATTCATTTTTATATTATAGAAGATGACAAATCAAATATTTTTAAAACAAAATCAAGTTTCAAAGATCTTCCATCCATATTAATACAGTTTCCATGTCATTAGACAGTCCTAACAGGGGTTACCAACTTTTTTATCTATCAAATATAGTATTTTCGAAGGATACCTCTAAAAACGACTACACTACGGTAGATAGGAAAAAATTTTAAAAATATAGTATGTGCTTATTTCTTAGATCAAGTAACAAATAAATTAACGCATTTAAATGATGGAGCTTTGTTTTATTTATAGTATGGGGTTAAAATATTTACTTAATTTTTGAAATGAATATATTTTTGCTGCTTGTTCTTTTAATAATAAAATTTTTATTTTTAAGAAAGTTTTTCTTGTAAAAGTCTGCTTTAATCAAAATATAGCAGTTTTGCCTCATATATATATACTAGAGGTCGTCTGCGTTAACTTAGTTTCTGGAACCTAACATTTTTTTTTCGGGATAAAAGTAGCCTATGTGTGAATCTAGGGTGTCAGCTAACTGCATACCAAAATTTATTAAAATCGCTCCAGCCGTTTAGACGTGAAGAAGTAACAAACATACACACTCACATACTCACACACTCACAAACTTTCGCCTTTATAATATTAGTGTGATATGTGTTTTAGAAATATAGTACTTGATCCTTGATTGCTGGCAAGCCTAGGTCCTGAGTAAAAATGACAAAACTGTTTTCTTGTAAAGAATAAACAAGTAAAATTTTTTAACATTTATAAGCAAACTATCATGCAAGTGCGTTAGACATCAGTTATATACCAATCTAATCCAATATATAAAACTCAAAGGTGACTGACTGACTGACATAGTGATCTATCAACGCACAGCCCAAACCACTGGACGGATCGGGCTCAAATTTGGCATGCAGGTAGATGTTATGACGTAGGCATCCGCTAAGAAAGGATTTAGATCAATTCTACTCCAAAGAGGATAAAATACCGAAGCGAAGCGAGGGCGGGCCACTAGTATGATAATGGTATCAATTCTAGCGTGATTCTCTAAACTTAAAACTAAATTTAACATCAGCCTCTCCTTTTCATTCTGTACAGAGAATGACAAAGATATACTGCTGTCAAATTTAAGTTTAAGTTTAGAGAATCACGCTAGAATCGACACCAATAAAGAAACAATAAAATTTCAATCACCTTAATGCGTAATGCACGTCGTAGTTGACCATGGTCACGTCGGGCCCCTGCCGCTCCAAGTACTTCATCAGGGCGATATTGTCGTATTCCGCGTACAGAGTTAAAAGATAGTTGTGAATTGCTTTGTCCTTGACATTGTAGTTCTGGTTCATAAACTCCAGATACCTTATGATTTCAGTCACGTGCACTTCGTCAGAATCACAAGACAGGAAAGCCGGTAACAATTTGGCGGGATTCAATCTGGCCCCTTGCGATATCAAAGCGTTCACCGCATGCTTGGGCGTTTCTTCAATCAGAACGGGCGCAAACTGATAAAACAAATCCGGTTTCTTCAAAGTTTGCAGCATTTTCAAAGCTTCCAGGTAAGATTTTTTGTAAATGTGCTGAGCTACGACATTTTCATAATCCTCGTTGATCAGGGTAAGCTTGATCAGGTTCTGTTTATCGCCGTGCGACGACATCAGGTCGTATATAACGGATTTCACGTGCTGCATGCATTTTGCCACTTTCGGCTGCAGCAGAAACACTTCGAAATCACTTTGGATCTGATGGTACTGCTCCGAATCCGTTTTCCCTGATCGCCGAAGGAGTCCCAATTGCGACAGGTACAACTCGGTCATCCAGATCACGATCATTGAAATCAGAGTCTTATCTTCTTCTCCTAGAGCCTCCAATCGACTGCTCAGATAAACTTTGAGTGCGTTTAGCTGATCCTTCTCTAAAAACTTAAGGCATACAGTTTCGAATCTGCTTTGGGACTCAGCATAAATTCTGGCGCTTCCTTCGTAATCGCCTTTTGAGTACAGCAATTCGGCGTGTTTAACGTTTATGACGTCAACAAACGCAGGGTTGTGGTGACAGTATTCTTTGGCTAATTCGAATTGTTCTCGGTCGCAGTATATCCTCCAAACGTTCCTCTCTTCCCTGACGACTTTGTAGCGAAACACAGCTTTATCGGTGACTGCCCAGATGGTCCTCCTCTTGGGATCTTTGATAATGTTCTTCAGTTTCCCATGGGCCACTGAATACGTATCCTCGTAAACAAGCTCCTGGTTAAGCAGTGAGATGGCTTTGACCTTATCGGAGTACATGAGAAGGATATGAAACTCGGTCAGCACAAACGCGAGTGGTGCTTCAGATTTTGGTTCCGACTCTGGCGGGTAATTTATTAGTTCTCCTTGCGTGAATAGGGAATTCGAGTTTTGTTGAGAAGTAGGATCCAGCTAAAAATAAATGGACAGAAATATAACTACTAAAAATAACGTAGATTAGTAGTCAACCTCAGAGACGGCGGTAATGCCAAGTCTGAAAGCAAGCCTCAAGGATTTGTTAATGTATTTTAATTTCGAAAACTTTAAAATACTAACCTGCCCATAAAACACACCAGGTTCCGTTAGCCACGCAAAAGTTTTCGGTACATTATTTTTATCAAAGTAGAACTGCAGTCTAGAATATTTCAAAGTGGATGGGATTTCTTGAAAACCAGTTTCAGGAGTAGTAAGATATGGATAAAATATCGACTGCAGAGATGGCTTGCCGTCAATGGTTACTGCGTTTCCAATGAACTGGTAAAGTCTAGTAGGAGTTGTGATGAAAATGAAGAACTTGTTCGATGTACCCACTCTATGGAACTGAATGCCTGTAATGGGCATATCAGTTCCACGGCCTATATCGAATATCTGAAAATAAAATAGACATGTTTAAAATAGTAGTACTGCGGTATTTGCCGATGAATTTTGTTGCTATGTCCAAACATGCTAGTGTGAGGTCTTTCTTCAAGTTAGGGCTATGTCGTGTGTGTTTCAAAGTTTAGATTTTTTTGTATTTACACACTTCTCTGTTCTAGGTTAGGGTTCGTACACAAGCGCTGCTGGCAGCCGATGGCAGCGCAACTGCAGCAACGGCTACCGCCGACAGATGGCGACGGTGCAGTTGCGCTGCCGTGTATATGAACCAGAAATAGCATCATCTAATGTAATATAATATAGGCTTGTGTAAACCAAACATCATAATCGATTGATGCCAAAACAATGGCTATGTATCACGCCGACGACATTTGTGGAAAATTATAAATATTAGTTACTTACACCTTTATCTAGTTTATTTGGGTTAACCAGTCCATCCATTTCTCTGTTTCCATACAAATAAAGATAGTTAGGCAGCTTGAAACATTGCAAAAGATATGTGTTAAGGTCATGCTGCACTGGAAGCGAAATGAGGTTCGCTCCGTTACGTATCAACGATCGAGCTGATTGTCGGGCGAATTTGAAAAGCCAAACGTAGCAGAACATATTTTTGAAAATCATGATAATTTGGATATGGGTTGGATACTCTTTTCTATGCATATGCAAAGGTACTTGTTAGCAAAACGGTTTTACACTGGGTCTAGGTGCGGTCTTATACCATGTGTACGTCTGTTCGTCAGTTAGGTGTAGGACACTATGGAGCTTTCTTAACGATACCGGCACAAGACACACTTGTACCATACATACAAACTGTGCTTGCTGACTAGTTTAGCCGGCATGGCCGAGCCCAGCCCGTCTGGGTAGAAGTCTGGTTAACAAGTGCACTATTACAGCAGTTAAAGAGGTAAAATGAAGCAGTAGTCTGAACTTAGGCTTCACAAGTTTTTTAAACTTGTATCACATAATTAATTGTTGGTTAAAAATAAACAATGGCGGCTAGATTGTTCTTCTTATTGCTAATAACTTTTACCAAGAGTTCAATTGAGAACTTAATGAAGGAATAGTAAAAAGTTTTTTTTGCACCACAATCATAATACGACTCAAAAGTGTCAGATATTAAGCAATCCTACCTATATTAACAAGTACAGAGTAAAGCTATACTTGAAATGTATGGAAACTCCAAATATGTAAATGAAAAATGATCATAAGTGTGTACTCCTTCATAGTACTTGGATATGATAGTAAAGTAGTACATAAAGTCAGTTGTAATAAGCACGATTAATGAATTATAAATAATAGTATTATTTTTAAAATAAAATGAAGTCTTCTTTCATCAAAACTTTCCATCTTCAGTTTTAAGAGCCCTTTTACATAATTGCACCACTGCCGTACTGATTGGCGCGTAGAAAATTACGACTTTTGCTAATAATGTGTTTTGGGACACACTGTAGTTCATTATATCGCGTTGCATACTGCGTCTGTTTTTTTTTTAACTTTCATAGTAATATGACAATTGAGTGTGATAAAAACGAGCAATATATCTATTGCAGTGCTCATGCTAGGGGGAGCCCACTTAGTGTTTTAAGTTTCAACAGTCTGTAGCAAAAATATATGTAATGTTGAGCAACATAATGGTGTCGATTCTGGCGTGATTCTCTAAACTTAAAACTAAATTTAACATCTATCTCTCCCTTTCATTCCGCATAGAGAATGAAAAGGATACGCTGTTGTCAAATTTAATTTTAGGTTCAGAGAATCGTGTCAGAATTGACACCATTATATTTTTAAAAATATAAATTAGCTGCAAAACTGCATAAAATCTCTTTCCTTAATGTATCTTTATTTTTAGATAGGGACTGTCACAACTTATAATGCTAGGTGGACCAGTACATGTGTCTGGAAGTAAATAAAAAAGATAATGTTAATACCGAAAAGTAAAATTTGGTATTTAAAAAAACCAAGTTATTTTTTACCTGTCTCCAATATTGATAATTCGCAGTCAACATTCTATCACTGTCAGCTTCTAGCTCCATTTCCATGATGTGGCCTTGGGCTGTCCCCAGCAATATGGGCCCAGTACTGTTCTCAGACATGTTCTCATAATTCCAACCCACTTCTGTGACTTCATAATTCCTAGATTTACTGACGGTTTTCAATTTTGAGCTATTTCTGTGCAAGTATACCAGTTCAGGGGAACCATCTTTATTCCTAGCAGTAAAAGCCAGAAGAAGGTGATTTCCAAGTGGATCCAAGAAAATGCCTGTGAGCCTTACATTAGGATTATACTTTGTGTATTCAATCTCTGAAAAGGTTTCATATATTTTATTAAAATCCAGCATAGAGTATGTATTGTAAATGATGGCTTTACTGTTTAATGTGTACAGTAGAGATTCTTACTACTGAAGCACCACGTTCCGTAATGTCGAGGTCCGGCCGATCTATTCGTGTACCGCGCCAATATACTTAACTTATCTATGAAAACGTCTTTGATAGACAGATGTCTTAATATTAGAAAAATAATCTTTGCCGTAAAAATGACTGTTAGAGAATATGTTGATTTTGTTAAGAAAGCGCTGTTTGTTTGTGAATTATAAAACATTAAAGTGATTAAGAAGAATAGCGTGTTTTTTGTGTCATCAACGACTTTACGACATTCACGTTATACTACTTACTTTAACAATCGCAAAATCTTAAAAAAGCTGTGTTAATGCATCTATAAAGGTACCTTCATGTTGATCAGGCTTCTTCAAATCCAGCCTGAAGAGTTTTCCATTAGCCATGGCCAAAACCAAATAGTCGTTGGCAACAGAGACATACGTTATGGTGTCAGATGGATTGAAATTCATCTTCTGTTTGGAAAACATTGGGGTGTTGTCTTCCATTTCCATTGATATGTAACCAGAGGATGTCATCGCTTCCGATACGGGTTTACTTCGTTGCGAGACTTGTGAGGCCTGCTCGTACTGGTCAAATATTGACGTCATATTATCCTAGTTTCCCTATAATTTATTAATGCTGATAAAAATGTGATCTCATTAGCAACAAAACAATTAACACAACAATTTTATTTTAATCCATCCCATAAAAATAGAACGAATGAAGAACGAATGAATGGATTGGTGTATTGACTTTGACAAAAGTCCAGCCATTAAATGTCAATTTAAAAGTGCGTTCAGATTACGCTACAATGGTGTCGATTCTAGCATGATTCTCTAAACCTAAACTTAAAGAACAATGCCCACGGCCCATACATTCGAAAACCTGTCACTTCGGTTTTTTCTTTATGGATGTATATTGACTGTTGAGGTTGTTAATTAATTATTACAATCTTCTGAAATAATGTTGCTAATTTGGTTTGATTTGGCAATGAGGAATAGAAGTTATAACGAAAACTAATTCTGAGGTTATTCAACTGCTGAAGATGTCATTTACTTACTCTGTGGTTACGAGATTGATTATAGATTATTTAATGCCGGAACTTCACTTGGCTATTTGTAAACTTGACAACAGTCTGTCCTTATCATGTTTTAAGGAAAGAAAAGGACAGACTGAAGTCAAGTTTACATGAATAGCCAAGTGAAGTGCCAGCATAAAATTATTCATTTGTGTGCTGTCACAGCTGTGGTGTCTTAGCCCAGCTAGGTATTTATTTCAATTCGCTTGTTTTGTTTGATTGAAGCTTGATCTGAGGATTGAAGAAAAAAGGATTAATATCATAACATGTATCATGCTGAGGTGTCATCCTTATAATATTGTCTTTGGAATTAAACAAGTTTTTTTTTATATTTAAATCAATAATTCAGTTTCAATTATTTTATTGAAATAGTGGTGTCAATTCTGGCGTGCATCTCTAAACTTAAAACTAAATTAAAGGTCAGTCTCACCTTTTCATTCTGTATAGAAGGACAAGGATGCACTGTTGTCAAATTTAAGTTTAGGTTTAGAGAATCATGCCAGAATCGACATCAGTAGGTACTTAATGTCTTAGTTTCTGCAAGCGAATGAATAAATGATAATCTTGACCTTTACCTAATTATATCTATAGACATCTAAGACATTTAACTATGTATTATTTAAATCTCTGGTAGACAAGTATATAAGTAGGTAATAATCTAAAATAAAATTACAATACCTTCCATTAATTGAGATGATTGGTACTATGAGCAGCTGTCATTATTGCTGGCATTTTTTCGGAACGAATTTCCTTCTCATGTAGTCAGCCGAAGAGATGATGGAGTCCTAACTATTTCGGTCATGTTTCACTAAGAAAATGGCCAGTCTTTGTTAAGAACGGAAAGAAACTTTAAATTAAAGCCATGCCTTTTAAGTATTACATTACCATTTAAATACGGTATTTACCGCATGACTGGCAACATTGGAAAGGAGAGTGCGAATCTACATTTAAGCTGCGTTCATAATTATGTCATTTTACTTTGATACAATACTCTTCCCTAATGGATGCGTTCGTGTGATAGCAAAAAATGTACTTACATAATGATTATTTTCAAAAATTATTTTTGAAAAAACTGTATTGTAGTTTTTGTTGATATTTTGATTTCGTAATAAGCGAATAATTACCTTTTTTTTGAGGTATGTCACATAATTATACATGCAATTTTTTTTTACAGATTTGACAGGTCACAAATGGGCATCCTTCTTTGACAACAGTGCATCCTTGCCATTCTCTGTACAGAATGAAAAGGAGAGACTGATGTTTAATTTAGTTTTAAGTTTAGAGAATCACGCCAGAATTGGCACCAGTATAGCGTTTAAAGAAGGCCCATACATTAAAGTAATAATAAAGCATGGTGAGAATAACGTGTTCTACATAGAGTTCATTGTTATTTAAAGTGTTCTATAGGCATGCGTCCGATATATCAAAACGAATCCAAAATCCGATTTCAAACACAAATCGATACCGAACGATTTCTCGACAAGAAAATCCGATTTCAGAAATCTAACCGAACCAAAACGCTAGCGATCTAATACCACAAGTATCCAAATGTAAATCGGATTCGAAATTCGTGCTTTCGTTTTCAGAAGTCAGATTTCGTGCTCGGAAGTCCGATTTCGATTTGCTGTTTACGGAAATCTATTGCTCTTCTCTGAGGTGGGATTATTTATCACTGAAAAGATATGTCGTCTAAAAACATCAAAAGTCGAGCACCTTACATTTTTGGACGCTAACCTGAAGTAATTAGGTTTGATTTTGTAAATGGTTTGAAAAATAATAAAAACAAACAGAAAAACAAAAAAAAATACTAAAAAATATGTAAAAAGAAATCATTGTATAAAAGCCGATTTTTAAATGCGCCGCAAAAGTTTTACTCTTAACCCTAAACATAACTTTTCTGCTAGTCCTAAGCCTAGATTTAAAGCATGAAGGAAAATCGCGAAAATCTACGAGTATCCTTGCTTCCTACAATTAATTGTTTGTGATTGTCGTTAGCTAATAAAACCAAATCCACAAACTAGTGAATTGGCTAAGTTCTGCACATCTGAAATCGGATATCTAAAAACGGATTTTAAAATCGATTTTGAAATCTGAAATCCGATAAATATCCGTTTGCGTTCAAAACCAAAAACGCCCATGTCCAGTGTTCTATGAGCAGTGTTGCCAACTCGGATTTTGAAAAAGGCGTAGGCCAGATGAGAAAATTACGTAGAATTAGTAAATTTTGGATATGAAAAGTACGTAGATCTACGTACTTTTTTCTGAGTGAAATGAAGAAGTTAGGTGAAACCGAATAAAATGAGTATTTTGTTATCTAATTTGTTTAAGAACGGGAGATAGAACAAAGAGTTCTTGGAGAAGTCGCTGCATTGGAAGCATTTACCATGCTGTGGTAGACATTTACCATCAGACACAGACACTGGTGGGTGTCGATTCTGGATGGTTCTCTTAATTTAAAACAAAATTTAACATCAGTCTCTCCTTTTCATTCTGTATAGAAAATGACAAGGATAAACTGTTGTTAAATGGGCTAGTTGACACTTTTTGGAATTATGTTTTAAATTGTTAATAATCGTTCTATCAGATCGAAAAATAAATGTATTATACAAAAACGCTATTTAGTCAATAGACTTATCTATGCTATGACATCAAAACATTTGAAAACAAACACTCGCAAGCACGTAGGAAATAAACTTTCTAAGTTAATATTATAAAACCACGACTTCTAATAGATCACATGAAAAATATAGTAGTTATCATGATACACTTGGTAAAAGACTAGAAAAGTTGTGGTTTAAATTGCCAAGAGAAATAAACATACTTAGACATGAACATATGTTTAAAACTTGCTAAATCCTATAAATTTATCGACTGAAAGTCATTTCTTTTTGCAAAGATCAATGCGATGTGAGTAGGTACTCATTGATAATATTAAAAGTTTAAAAATATAATTTTTAATGTTATGAATGTACCTACTAAGTCAAAGAGTTTTGTCGTTTCTGCTTTCACAAATCCTGCGTCCAGCATTAATTTAGTCAACAAAACCAATAACGGGAACCTTTTCTACAAGATACGAGAGTGTAAGATACATCTTTATAAGAAATAAACATTGGTATAGTTTTTAAGTAAAGTAACGGAAAATATTCTTCTTTATTCTAGTCAATTAAGTTATTTTACAAATTTGAAAAAAAATAAGAAAATACGTAGATTCTGGGACTGAAGTTAGTAGGTTTCCGGGAAAGGCCTGAAATACGTAGATCTACGTAAAAAGACGTAGAGTTGGCAACACTGTCTATGAGTACGTGGTGCGTGAAAGTGGTGTCGCTTCTGGCACGATTTAAATAGTGCATCCTTGTAATTTTTTATACAGAACTAAAAGAAGAGACTGATGTTAAATTTAGTTTTATGTTTAGCTTAGAGAATCGTACCAGAATAGACGTGCTATGTGCTAATCAGCTAAATGCGGTACTATATTATAGCGTGGTCTGAACGTACCTAATACCGGACCCGTCAAAAATTACAAATGTCACATTTGTTTTGCAACTTTGCAGTCTTTTGTACCTACATTGCTCGTAGCACACCAATTTCAGCTGTAAACTCATGTTATTAGAGTTGTTCTTCCTCTAAAAGAAGGTTAGAAACTGTTGTCGTTGTTCGTTGTAAATTTGTAATTTTTAGCAACTCCTCAGACCAAATAAAAGTTAACGTTAACTCTTTCAATTTGAAAGAAAAATTAATTCTTGGTGTTTATCGTGTTTCTTTTTTATTAATCAGCCGCTTCTTCTTTCAGCTAAGATTATCTAAAATAAATCTTTTCAAACAATAAAATAAATATCTCCAACACTGCAGAATTAAATCCAGTTTTTATTTGGTGACCTTGCTCATTATCATACCGCTCAAATTCACGTTGTATGAATATAAATTCATTTTATTTGTTATCAGCTTGTCTTGTTCAGTATAGATATTCATTTTCGGTGTGATAAACGTTCGTAATGGCTTCAGGCGCTCTTCGTAATACTTCTAAATTGGGACGTAAGTTGATTTACTATTCTGTAATGCATTGCAGACAACATTCCTATTCTTATTTTTTTACTAAAAACCGTTACGCATAATATAATACGTCTTTTCTGAAACCCATTGATCATGTTTGAGTTTACTTAAGCTCATTGTAGTAATTTTGGACGTGATAAAAGTTAACATGAAGCCTAAGAGATTATCTAGATTAATTTTATGACCAAAACCTCAGTTTTTCTTAGCACCAGTACCTACTAACAGTTCTTTTTTGTTTTTTTTCAAGTATCCTCTTTAAAATGGCCAAGGACAATGTTCCCGCAAAGTCGAGCTTTCAGTGCACATCTGACAGAGACTCAATGTGCAGTTCAAGATATGACGCGAAAATTTACTGAAGAATACCTGAAACCAAAGGCAGGTCAGCTAGACTTAAATGGACGATTTCCTTTTGAACCAGTAAGTACAACCTTAGAACAAGAACTAAAACATAGAAAGTGTTTAACCCTTGGTTTACCCCGTGACTTCATACATACACATTTTACCCGGTGTAGTCCCCAGGACTCCCGGGTTTTAAATCGTAAATATAATAGGAAATAAACCATTTTTTTAAATGAAATTTAAGTTAATTTGCTTTTTATGTATTTGGTTTTACATTATCTTAACTTTTTAGTTAAAATCATTCAATTACAGTCTTTTATTAAGGAACTTTTAGATAATGGCACTTTTTGTAACAAAATTATGAGACCTATCTTCTAATGTCAACATTTCAAAAACAAATCAATATTATAAAGTAATCTTCAAAGAAATATAACAAAAATATAAACAATTCTTATAAAAAGTAAAAAAGAACATGGTTTGAACAAGAGAGAAAAAACGCGCAAGACCTTCTAGTCACGGTTGATGTCACAGTTATTGCATACTTTTTTTTATAGCTGAGGCACACAGGCTTAGTACAACTATGGCAAATATATGAAGTTGTCTATATAAAAATCACAGTTAAAAATACCGTACATAGACTGGACCACTGGAGTCCCACGGACTCCACTAGCGTGATTACTTACCGATAGAAGCCGCGAACGGCAACGTCTGCTCTCCTCCGCACTCGGACCGTCACTCCGTGAAGGTATTGGAACGCACAATTTGTAATTCCAAAAACTAACGATTTTATGAGCGCGGATAGTTTTCATTGGAGTCCCAGGGACCTACCGGGTAAATTAAGGGTTAAATTCAACTCATATATACTTCCAGGCACATCTATCGGCCCACCTAGCATATATGTTTTGACGCTCCCTAGTTTAAAATAAATGTTACGTTGAGCAAAAACTTATTACCTTACAGTTTTGAAGCTGATCTATTAAACAACGTTTTATTTGACTTGAGAATTATTGCTCAACCATAAACATATATTTTTGCTACAGACCATTGAGATCTTTGGAAGTTAGTTTTCCTATTTTTGCATATAGCTCAAAAAAGGGACAAATATACTAATACATAATTGTGAAAGTTCACTAAATCAGAATAGAATATAATCTAAAGAAAATATGACTAGAAAAAATTCCACGCGGACTAGGCAGCAGACGGGACTCAAACCCGCACCCTTTGCTGCCCATCTGCTGCCTGGTTCGCGTGGAATTTTTTCTAGTCATATTTTCTTTAGATTTAAACAGTTACATGCTTTAAAAAAATAAAAATTATAACTAGAATATACATTTTTGTAATTCATTAACAATTTAATTTGCAGTCGTATTATGAAAATGCATCAAATTTGGTTGTAACTTGTTAGAAATAATACTAAACATTACTATTTTTGAAGTTCCTATTGATAAATTTTCAAAGTATCCATAAAGTAAATTAATATATATAAGTTTATGGTAGTTAGGGTCAAATAAATAAACTCAAAATTATAAAAAAGAATGAAATAAAGTACTTTATTAATTAAATTACCTAATAAATTTATCCATAGGCAATAAAGTTTTAAAAATCTTCCAATAAAATATTTAGTCTCAATAAGTCTTTTGAAGGTAGCTCAATAAAGTTAATAAAAAATCATTATTCTGACAATGCATTCCTGCAAAGGATGCAAAACGTCAATAAATAAATAAAATCAGTGCATTTAACTAATAAAATATGTTACCGTTGAAACTTCTTTTATTTAATGAGTGATGTGCGTGAAAATCTAAGAAACAAATAAGTAAATTGTGAATATAATCAGTATTTTTAAGACAAAAGAATGTACACATAAATATTTTTATGTTGATGACAATTATAAGAATAGCCTAGACAGAAAATCTGGGTTGTTATTAGGTCATTAAAAAGACGAAATTGTGTAGTGTACTTACTTTAATAGTAAACCTAAAGGAATTCTTATAAATAAGAATATAATGTAAAAAACTATGCTTACAGAATAGCTAAAACAGATGTATCACAATGTTTTGTGACTTAAGTAAGATGTAATCTTATCATGCAGTGTTCATGTGACCAAATAAAATGAGTATATGAAGATATAATAAAAATAGTGGACAGATTAAAATTGAGGTGGATGGAGGATACATAGCTATATTAAAAATAAATAAATAAATATTTCCAACACACACCAATTAGCCTAGCCCCAAAGTAAGCACTATAAGGCTTGTGTTATGGGATACTAGGGTAACGGATAGAATACATATACTGTACATATAAAATTATATTTATATAGAAATACATATAAAACATCCATGACTGGAGTACAGATGCACGTATTCATCACACAAACATCTGCCCCCACTGGGTTCGAACCCGGGATCTCCCGAGTCGGCGACACCATGAAACCCGGCGTACAAACCACTCGGCCACTGAGGTCGTCATACGTAAATGAATTTACTCTGTAAGTTTCTGAATATTGTATTAAAGTTAGATAAATATCTTGTTATCTAGATCAAGAAATTGACTGACCTTGGGCTTATGGGAGCAACTGCATCTGAAGATAATGGTGGCATGGGCCTTGACTACTTGTCTCTGGCTGTGGCCATTGAGGAGTTATCGCGAGGCTGTGCCAGCACTGGCATGATACTCGCCATTCACAACTTCTTATATGTGAACCTGGTCAATGAAAGGGGCACTTATGAACAGAAAGAGCGGTTTCTTAATAATTTCACAAATGGAGGACGTATAGGATGTTTCGCGCTCAGTGAACCAGGTAAATCTTCTTTTTCCTACCCTTTTTATGTCAGGAAACAACGATATTAAATACCCTAGATACACCATGTGCACTCAAAATGTGTCCCACTCAAGAAGTGCTTAAACTTCACTCAAGCACTTCTTTGTGCAAAGTCACGCACACACCGTTGAAAAATCAACATGCCGCAGAGCTCTGTGAAAAAAAACACTTATAGTATGTAAAATGTTGTTTCTTCGACAGATATCTGACCAAGGTTTGTTTAATTATCGCAATTGAAGCAAATTTTGTTTTAATACTTACTATAAACTGATTTAACAGAAAATATTTGTGATATACAAATGCATGGTCGGTTATGTAGCCATCTCTTTTCCTCACGGTCCGTATCTGCAATACTAACAGCAGATAGCGCATAGAGAAAGGGAAATAAGGTCTATATTCTTGCGCATCTAGCAATAAGATGTAAAATTTTACGAGCTTGCATTTCGAACTGTCATTACTCTTTGATGCATGCGTTTTAATTAAGACCTTATACAGTATGCATAAAAGGTGACTTTCAATTATAGATGTAAGGCCGGTTAAAAACCAATCCGTTTAAAACGAAAAAAACCGTTTAAAACCGAAATAAATGGCTTATTTCGATTTAAAACGGTTGGTGTTGATAATGTCAACGCCAAAAAAAAAATGTTAGTAATGTGTTTATGATGTCTTTTATTTTAATCTAGTGTGTGTTATTTATTATATGTATAATAAATAAGTGCTTAAGTTTGAAGGTACCTTACATACTTACTTAAGTTTTCGTGGTACCTAGGTAATGTACGTAGGTACTTTCTATTGATTTTCTTTATAGGTACCTACTAAGTAAAACGAAACATGACTTCAGGTGACCAAAAATTGACCATAATGAAGAGTTAAAAAACATAGTTCTTTTATTTTTGTATGCCAGTTTAAACCGTTTAAAACGTTTTATTTGGGGTTTAAAACGGCAACATTTAGTTTAAAACGTTTTAAATCGGTTGTTTTACATCTATCCTTTCAATGTTTAAATAATGCCTTATATTGCTTCCGACAATGCAATAATTTTCGGCCACGATTTTGTTCGTATTGTTGCATCTAGGGTATTTAATATCGTTGCAGGAAAATGCATAGCTTGATTTCCGCCGAGTCTAATTACTGGCTCTGTGGCTACTCAAGAGCCAAAAATCTGACGCTTCTTACTTTATGGGGGCTTCAGCCCCACTGAGCGCAATTCGCCAATAGGGATGATGACTAATTTTTTTTTCTTCGTTTATCAGGTAGATTATCAAAAAGTATTGGACACGTATTTTTTCTTTTTTCACATAATATAAACATTGCAGAGATATATTGATTTGAAAAATCGCATGACGTCACGTTTGAGTACACTTAAGTGAAAATTCACTCAAAAGTGACGTCACGAGCCCCTACTCCCAAACTTTGACGCGCTATAACTTTGTCATTTTTTGGTTGATTGCCCAAAGAAAAAATGCGTGTCCATATTTTTTGATCATCTAACCGACGGACTAAATAGAATTTCGTTTACTGTACCCCGTCATCACCCCTATTGGTGGAGAATTGGGCGGCGCACAGTGGGTGAAAAAAAGAGGTCCCCTTTCATAGGATTTTTGAAAAAATAAAAATGTATATTATCCGTTTAAGGTATGCGGTTTTATTGGACATATCAGTACATTGAATAATAAAATAGTTTGGGGAATTTCCTTTTAATCTAACACCATAAAGCACGGGCTTTAGAGTTTCAAATGTATGAAAACGGAATTTGTTTTGCTCATAACTTGTCTCGGTCTTCTACGGTCAAGCTGAAACTAATAGGGATTATTACCGGGTCTGTTACGAAGCCATGTGACCTTTGACCTTCACCCCGGACGGCCCCGTTCAAAAGATACGAATTTTTCAAAATGCTTATTAGGGTAATTTTGCTTTACAGGGTTATGTGTCTCAATAAACAGTTTGTTTATGTTTCTTGCCCAGCATTTAGTTATTAATACAGCGCAGATTATTATCTAATAAAACTATACATATATATATAGATAACGACACCATACAACTTAACTTTAAATAAAAGCGTCCTTATTCAAAAGATATGGAATTAATATAAATAGATAAAAGAAATAGTTTTAAGAAAAAGAAAACAAGAATACAATATTGTAAAGAATTACAATGAAGTCGTTTACAGCCTACAAATTAATCTTTTGTTTGACAATCGCTTAAAAGCCGCGCGCCATTAACGAGAGCATCATTACATATAAACAATACAAACTCTATTGTTGCAGGTTTTGAGGAATTCAAAGGGTTACCCACAGTCATTACCTGCCGTTGTTTGCCTATAATAATTACTGATTATTTGCTTTTATTGTGGGTAGGTGAATAAATAATACGTTGTTATTATTATTATTCAACAATGACTTCGATTATAATAAATACGGAGTACACCTGTATTTCATTTCACTTATCATTATTGATTCGTACCGTAACGTTCTCTTTGCTCAAATTTTAAGGGCTTGTGTCTAATCTCGACGTATATATATATATATATATGAGGCAAAAATCTTTTAGTGCCGACATGTTATTTCAAAAAGTACTCGATTCAGTGAGATTTTCATTATCTGAAGAACAAAAGACAACTCTTAAAACGTTTTGTGCTACATATACGAGTAATCTTAAACGCAAATGGAAGTCAGCTAATTACACACAAGGGAATTTTATAAAGAAGTTTGCTGACTGGTTGGACCAAGAAATAAAATGGCCAGAGTTTGTTTCACTAGACATAACTGAAGAACAATCAAATATTATGACGAGTTTTGAAGATCCTTCAACAAGTATTTCAACAGTAACAAGACCTAGTTTATCAACGGAATGCACTGTTCCTCATAGTGTGGCTGTGTCGACATCAACCGCTACATTTAGTCCTCGAAAAGAATTTGCCAATTTGAGTCCACTGCAAAAAAGAAGAAGAACTGAAAATCTCATTGCCGAAAACGATTTTGAGACACTTGCTTATGCCCTGGCTAGGAAAGCGGAAAATGAAAACCAAACGGACTTTGTAGAATTAGTGAAGCATTTGATTAAAAAGCCTGAAGATGCGCCAATGCTACGAGCCTGCCTGAAATCGACGAAACGAACTTGTCATACCGATAAGGCACTCGGTATTTCAACATCACTGAAATTATCGAAATGGCAGTATATTACATTGAGGCAGACAATGAGAGACATGGGGTGTGATATACTTCCATCGTATGATGCTTTGAAGCAAGAGAAGAAGGAGTGCTACGTTGAAAAAGAAGACATGGTAATAACTGAGACTGAAGTTAAACTTAAACTTCAGTCTATTTTAGATATTACGGTCAAGAGACTATTAAAAACTCTGGAAACTGATTTAACAGGCAGTAATTCGACTCTTATCAGTAAATGGGGGTTTGACGGTGCATCTGGGCAAAGCAACTACCAACAAAAAATTGACGGCGATGATTCAAGCATCTTCATGTGTTCATTTGTGCCGTTAAAACTGGTGAGAGATGGTACTGATGAAATAATATGGGAAAACCCCAAAGCGTCTTCAACGTTTTACTGTCGACCCATTTATTTTAAGTTTGCTAAAGAGAACGATTTGAATGTTAAAGAAGAAATGACTTCAATTGATACGGAAATTGCTGCTCTACATCCAACTGTTATCGATGGTGCAAATGTAAAACACGTTCTGCATATGACGATGATTGATGGTAAAATAACTTCACATTTATCAGATACATCCACAGCTACATGCGATATATGCAAAGCAAAACCAAAAGAAATGAATGATATCGACAAGGTTACTCAGAGAACCCAGTCTGTAGACATGTTTAAGTTCGGTCTGTCTTCCCTCCATGCACGAATTAGATGCATGGAATGTATCTTACATATTGCTTACCGTCTCGACTTCAAGAAATGGCAAGCTAAGGGCGAAGATTTGAAGCAACAGTTAAGCCAAAGAAAAAAGGCTATTCAAGAACAATTCCGGACTGAAACGGGGCTACTTGTGGACGTTGTTAAACAAGGGGCTGGTACAAGCAACGATGGAAACACAGCAAGAAGATTTTTTGTTAATCCTCAAATTACTGCTCAAATAACGGGTGTTGATGAAGAACTCGTTAGAAGATTTGGAGTGATTCTTCAGGCTATCTCATGTGGAGAGTTTGTGGACGTGGAAAAATTCCGCCAATATTGTGCTGCTACAGCACGCAAATATGTCGAGCTCTATGAATGGTATTATATGCCCTCAAGCGTGCATAAATTACTCATTCATGGTGCCGATATAATAGAGCACAATAACTTTATACCAATCGGCAAGCTCTCTGAAGAGGCCTCTGAAGCTCGTAACAAAGATTTTAAAAACTTCAGAACCTTCGACTCGCGTAAATCTAGCAGGACTGCAACAAATGAAGATATTATCAATAATTTGTTAATATCGTCTGACCCATACCTATCAAGTTTCAGGCCTAAAATATGTCAACGAAATAAACCTCTCACAAATGAAGCTAAATCATTATTATTAACTTCTTGTGAAGATAAGGAAAATATAGAGTTTGTAGATGTAGGTAATGTATCTGATTATGACTTTGATTAGTATGTGTTCTTTCCCTCAAATCAAATTATATCAAACTTTGTATTTTTATTTTTTTGTATCTTTGTATCATATTAATATAAGCAGTAATTAATATTTAAGAACTGTTGTAGCCAATTTGAGTTCTACTAATCTTTTATACTTTAGCTTGTATGTGTGTAGTTATTTATACAGTTGTGGCTTCCTTATTATGCATTATTTAATTTATGATATCAAGCTTAGTTAGTAATTTAAGTTTTGTAAATAAAAATATTGATGTTAATAATTTTGTTTTATTCATAATGTAAATAGTTTATTTTCTCGTTTGGCAGTAACATATCAGAATCTCCCTTACTACATTTACTAATATTAATAACCAGCTAGTTTATCTGGAAAAACACTTTGTTCATTTTAAGCTTAGTCAGTTAAGTTCTAGGTATCCCAAAATAAACATATTTGCTCAAACCCTTTCTTAGATAGACATTGTAAGTGTAAGTATGTTTGTTTGACAAAATTAATTATTATAGGCAAACAACGGCAGGTAATGACTGTGGGTAACCCTTTGAATTCCTCAAAACCTGCAACAATAGAGTTTGTATTGTTTATATGTAATGATGCTCTCGTTAATGGCGCGCGGCTTTTAAGCGATTGTCAAACAAAAGATTAATTTGTAGGCTGTAAACGACTTCATTGTAATTCTTTACAATATTGTATTCTTGTTTTCTTTTTCTTAAAACTATTTCTTTTATCTATTTATATTAATTCCATATCTTTTGAATTAGGACGCTTTTATTTAAAGTTAAGTTGTATGGTGGCGTTATCTACTGTGTAGTTTTATTAGATAATAATCTGTGTTATATTAATAACTAAATGCTGGGCAAGAAACATAAACAAACTGTTTATTGAGACACATAACCCCGTAAAGCAAAATTACCCTAATAAGCATTTTGAAAAATTCGTATCTTTTGAACGGGGCCGTCCGGGGTGAAGGTCAAAGGTCACATGGCTTCGTAACAGACCCGGTAATAATCCCTATTAGTTTCAGCTTGACCGTAGAAGACCGAGACAAGTTATGAGCAAAACAAATTCCGTTTTCATACATTTGAAACTCTAAAGCCCGTGCTTTATGGTGTTAGATTAAAAGGAAATTCCCCAAACTATTTTATTATTCAATGTACTGATATGTCCAATAAAACCGCATACCTTAAACGGATAATAAACATTTTAATTTTTTCAAAAATCCTATGAAAGGGGACCTCTTTTTTTCACCCACTGTGCGGCGGGGCAATGACACCAGATGAGTTCTCGACGACCGAAAGTTTCCTACTCGGGTTTCAGTTTGTTGGGTTTGGGGTCAGTGCACAGCTATGTTAAATTGTGTAAAACTGAATACCCTTCGGATTGCTGTGTGCTGACTACTGCATAACAACCGCGACCAACGATTTCATGTCTTTAAGAAACACTAAAATTTTGGTCACCCATCCAATGACATGGTCATTGTGGACGTTGCTTATCTCCCATAATTGCTGACCGGACGCACTTATCATAGTGCAGTCAAACTCTTACAAATTTTGCAAGGAAGAAAATATTAGTATTTTCTCTCAGTAACATTATATGAGCAGATTTGTTTTGTCACCTTATCATGGAATTTTTATCAACGAGATATTGTTGATAGCTGTATATTGTAACCCCTCAAGTTCAAGCTGATTGAACACAACATTTATTTGACATAATATTTCATGCATTATCTATTGTTATATGTTTGTTATAACAAAAGTTACAACATTATATAATCATCGTAATATAAGTCAGATTCATATTAATCTAATATATAAAATTCTCGTGTCGCGATGTTTGTGGTTAAACTCCTATGAAACGGCTTTCCCGATTATCATGAAATTTTGTGTGCATATTGGGTAGGTCTGAGAATCGGACAACATCTATTTTTCATCCCCCTAAATGTTAAGGGTAATCCACCTCTAATTTTTTTTTTCAATTTAAGATAATTTTTTTTTAATTTTTTTATGATACATCATACAAAAATACATACATCCCTAAATTTTCACCCTTCTACCACCAACCCCTATTATTTTATGGCGGTACGAAGTTCGCTGGGACAGCTAGTAATTTATAAGTGTAAGGTAATAATTCCAATTACCTAACTTATATATAAATATGCTGTGAAAACTGAAACAAACATACAATCAATATAGTTTTTATTTACCATTTTACCCTGAGGTTGTTTAAATTAATATCATAATTAATGAATGCATTAATTTACATATTTATAAGCAGTAACCTTGTTATAAAACACATATTGTTAACTAATAGTTCAAGTATGATATGTCTGACATTATAGTGGCAAGCGACATGATCACAGAGACACTCCATAATCAGGGTGTTTGCAACATCTAGGGACTCCAGACGGTGAAGAGACTTCCCCCGTGGGGAGATGCCATCCGCCTGGAATACCTCTAAAGGCTCTCGACATTTCTCGCCTTGGGAACCCCCTTAGGATCTTGCCGTCCCCAAACCCGGTGACGCCATAAAGGTTAACTGCGACAAACAGCATATATAAACTAAAAAAACAGATAGAAATCAGGATGCATTATAGCAATCCCGTTAATAACTATAATGTTTAGACGACCTCCGTGGCTGAGTGGTTTGTACGCTGGGTTTCATGGCGTCGCCGACTCGAGAGGTCCCGGGTTCGAATCCCGGTGGGGGCAGATGTTTGTGTGATGAACACGAGCATTTGTACTCCAGTCATGGATGTTTAATATGTATTTCTATAAACAAAAATATACTTATAGACCAGGACCTTTCCGATCAGCTTGATCCTTTGGCTTTGCGTAGGGATGTAGCTTGGCTCTGCATCTTCTATCGCATTTATCACGGGGAGTGTTCTGAGGATTTGTTCGGATTAATTCCAGCTGCTGCATTTCGACATCGTACATCGCGACAAAAATTTCATCCCCATCATCTTGATACGTGCCTATCCACAACCGTGCGTTTTTGTCGAAATTTTTTTATCACGTACGAGAAAACTGTGGAATATATTGTCGCCAGCAGTGTTTCCAGACCGATACGACCCAAAAACCTTCAAAAAAAGAGCGTACTTCTTCCTTAAAGGCCGGCATCGCATTTGTGATACTCCTGGTGTTGCAAGTGTCCATGGGCGACGGTGATCACTTACCATCAGGTGAGCCGTCTGCTCGTATGCCCCCTATAAAATAAATAAAAAAAAAACATATATGTAAAATATATGTATTCTAGCCGTTACCCTAGTATCCCATAACACAAGCCTTATAGTGCTTACTTTGGGGCTAGGCTAATTGGTGTGAGTGTTGGAAATATTTATTTATTTAATATATATATGTCGCATTGCAGAGGCGGGCAGCGACGTCGCAAACATCAAGACTACGGCTACCAGTGATGGTGACTACTGGGTTCTGAACGGGAAGAAGAGCTGGGTCACTTCTGGCGTGGAGGGGTCCGCTACCGTAGTGTTTGCCACCTGCGACCCTGCGCTCAGGCATAAGGGGCTAGCTTGTGAGTCCTTTCAGCCGGCTTATTATCTAACTTTTGACGTGATCATCATCATCATCAGCCTATCAATGTCCCCACTGCTGGGGAACAGGCCTTCCCTGTGGATGGAAAAGGGAGATTGGGCCATGACCCATCACGCGGGGATTGGTGGGTGCTGGCGACTGCAGATGCAGCCGGGACTAACGGCTTTACGTGCCTTCCGAAGCACAGAGGAGTGAGAGATAGTAAATTTTTGGTCACCCATCCAATGACCGACTATTGCGAAAGTTGGTTAACTTCAACGATCGCAGGCGAACGCGCTAACTACTTGCGCCATAATAGCTTCTCCTTTTTTGACGTGATAACGTCTTATTAATCGATGAACACAAGCTGCACGCACGAGAAAGTGTCACGTTCCGCCTGAGTTTGAGCGTGCAAGCGAGAGTGCAGAACAAGCGATAGAGGCACGATAGGCCCAAGCATCGTCTTGTACGCATTTATCCCTTCTCGCATGACGTCAGAGCTAGCAATTATGTAAGTTTTCATCAATATTTCTCTATGGCGTTATCACGTAAAACTATCGTCCGTAAATCGACTTTACAGACAACCAATATTTTCTGATTCTGGCATGATTTTCTAAACTATAAAACTAAATTTAACATCAGTCTCGCCTCTCGCTCGCCTTTTCATTCTGTATAGAGAATGACAAGTATACACTGTTGTCAAATTTAAGTTTAGGTTTAAAGAATCATGTCAGAATCGACACCATTGTGCAACTAAAGAGAAAATTGCATATTCATACATGCTTTTTAGAACAAGTATCTTTGTAGCGTTATGAAAAAGCAGTAGTGGATTACTAAATAGCTCGCTGATTATCAGTTCCCTCTGTCAAAAGCAGTTAGCAAATAGTCCTAACTGTATTTTTGATTAATCATGCTCATATAACAAAGGAAGAAAGTAACGTTTATTGGCCTACATACTAACATTTATAGAATACTGGCGGCCCGCACTCGCTTCGCTTCGGTGTACACTTCAGTGTAGACTACAGTTTTTGTTCTCAGGCTTGTATTATACACAATGACATTCATCTATGATTCTTCTTATACCTGCATGCAAAGTCTCAGCCCGATCGGTTTAAAATTGACAAAGTTTCATACAAACTTTCATTCCCTATTTTTCCCCCTTGGGTGTAGAATTGATCAAAATCCTTTCTTAGCCTACGTCATAACATCTACCTGCATGCCAAATTTCAGCCAGATCCGTCCAGTGGTTTGGGCTGTGCGTTGATAGATCACTATGTCAGTCAGTCACCTTTGAGTTTTATATATATAGATTCGTGACGACCTCCGTTTTGTATGCCGGCTTTCATGGTGTCGCCGACTCCGGGGGGTTCGAATCCCGGTGGGGGCAGATGTTTGTGTGATGAATACGAGCAATTTGTACTCCAGTCACCACCAGTCTACTTATATATGTACTGTATATGTATTCCAATCCGTTACCCTAGTATCCCATAACACAAGCCTTACAATGCTTTCTTTTTAGCTAGGCTAATTGATGTGAGTGTTAGAAATATTTATTTATTTATTCATTTTATGATCCCCAGCCTATTAATATCCCCACTGCTGGGGCCTTTCCCATAGATGGAATAGCGAGATTGGGCCATGAGGCTCAGTGTGGATTTAAGGCCTAAACTCAACTTTGGATATGTCAGTCAACACCTTCAGTGTGGAAAATTTTAAAGAAATGTCACTTACTAAATAAATTTTATTCACATTATTATGCTAAAGTCTTCGCTGAGTGGCTCTTCCGCTGAGCCACTGGGAACAATCTATTGGGGTTTAAAAAATCTAATCTATTTTCATGTGTTTTTTACAGGCTTCTTGGTGCCACTCGACGCTGAGGGAGTGTTCAGAGGAAAAAAAGAGTCACTGATGGGGGTCAGGTATGTATTAGATGAACGAATGACAATGAAGCAAGCAACATAGAAACCATTAAAATCCATTATCTCTGAAACATTTTGTGAAAGCTTTTTTTAAATGGGTTGTGTTCCCAACATATGTGTTTTATGAGCTCGTTCATAAATATAATGCGATTCAACTAATTATAGGACCGACTGGGCGCCATATTCTGATGTCATAGCTGTCAATTCAAACCAAATAGGTAGAGTGAGTAAAAAAAAGTTTTTATTTAATAAAACTTATTTACTAAGATTAAGTGAGAAAGAGCATCAGTTTTTTTTTAATAACGTTTAATTACTCATATTGAGAAAAAATAAACCACCTATTTTTAATAATATCTATTAATTAAGACTGTGAGAAAAAACATTAATCAGAATCTAGCTCTTCTATTCCGCTCATTTCTGCATTACCGCCGGAGTAGTTATAAATAATCATGCACTATTACTAATCACATACGAACATGCATCCTATAAGCAAACGAAAGTTTGAAATCGAGTTTCTGAACGCAATTTAAAGTGACATTTGGTTGACGATTTAGGTTATCAACCATTCATGGCCAAAGCTCAATAAGTGAAAAAAAATATATTAACCGATATGAATTATCAATATTTGTTATTGTTTGTTTACAAATGTTTGGTTTTTATTCTTGAATTAGCGGAGTGCTAAAAAAGCGTTTCAAGCGTTTTTTTTTGCAAACCGTACTTTTTAAGCGACATTTGACAGATAGAGGACTTTGGCTTTCCAATTCTTATTTGAATCGCATTATATTTTTGTTTGCTGCATTTAATAACAAGAAATACATGTGCTAAATATTTCTATCACACTAATATTATAAAGGCGAAAGTTTGTGAGTGTGCATGTTTGTTACTTCATCAAGTCTAAAGGGTTGGAGCGATTTTAGTAAAATTTTGAATGGAGTTAGGTGACACCCTGGATTAACACATAAGCTACGTTTCACTGAGGAAAAAATATCCATATTAAACCGCGGGTTACACCAGGGGGCATAGCTAGTTATTAATAATACTTAAGGTAAAAAGAAAACAACGCTACAACAATTACTTCATTCTAAAGAAAAGTTAACTAGAAAAAAATCCACGCGGACCAGGCAGCGGACGGGACTCGAACCCGCATCCTTCGCTATCCGGGCGAATGCACTGACCATTATGCTACCACGGCCCTATTAGCCGCGTCGAAATTTTCCTAGCTTTAAGCTGCAAGGCAGCGCCATCTCTTCGCATTGTAGGTAACCCACAATGTCAAATGAATTATTTTTCAAGTATTAAACATTTGAAAGAAGAAATAGCAATTATAGTTATGATTTTAAAGGAAAGGAAAAACATTGTTAAACGAATAAAACTAGTTTTTACGGGTTAATACACGAAACTTTATTTATTTATTGAAGTTTCGAAGCCTTTACAGGCTACGTCGTCAAACTTTTATTTAATTTGTCGAGCTACCTTCGAAAGACTTTTATTGAGCGTTCGGTTATTTCATTGTTCGATTTTTAAAGTTTTATTGTCTATGTATGAATTTATTATTTAATTTACTTAATAAAGTATTTTATGTAAAATTCTTTTTTGTAATTTTGAGTTTATTTATTTGACCCTTACTACTGTAAACTACCACCGGTTCCAAAATTGGGAGACCTTTCTGAGAAGAACCGGCGAAACAAACCAAGAGAGGCTTTCTATCTCCTTCTTAAACGTTTGCTTAAAACGGTGCAAATTATGCCGGCAAGGTAAGGATGGTTGGTGTAGCAGTTTATAACTGCTGTACCAGCTATCTTCTAGTAATCTTTTCTTCGCGTTTGGACTTTATTAACACTTAGCATCAGGTGGGGTAGTCATTTGCCTACCTGGCTTTAAAAAACAAATGTGTAGTGAAACAAAGTTTTGTGTTGACGATTTTGTTGAATGTCGACATGTTTTTGTTTATTGTGTAGGGCAAAACACGGGCTAGAGACCAGGCTTAACAGGTGCGTCTCTTAACGTGCTACAATAATTTAAGAGAATAGGGCCGTGGTAGCATAATGGTCAGTGCATTCGCCCGGATTGCGAAAAGTACGGGTTCGAGTCCCGTCCGCTGCCTGGTCCGCGTGGATTTTTTTCTAGTAAACTTTTCTTTAGATTTAAACATCTAGCAGTTAAATGCTTAAAAAATAAATAAAATCATAATTACTTCATTATTAATTTAATCAGGTACGATACTCTCTAGCAAATATTATTGGTTATACAATACAGTTAATGACGTTTGTCATGTCATTTTGGCCCTCAAGTACCATTCTAACTAAAAATTACCAAGAATGGACTATATATTATGTACCCTTAGCATGAACTATTTTTTAAGGACATCCAACAAAGCATAACACAGCGTCAGTGTTAGTAGTTACAGAAGCAGTTTAAAGCTAGGATTAGTGTCGCTATAATTATAGGTTGCCAGGGCATGCGCAATAGGAAGCAACTAAAATTAACAAATTTTATTATTCAGCAACTATGAGCTAGTTTTGGCCACAAGGCGGCACCCCAGACCAAACTCCGTTTTTTTTTTGTGAATTTCAATTTCGAATATGTAGTTGAATACGATCTCTTAATTTGCGTCAATGTCGAGAAGGTTTATATAGAAATTTGAATAGCGCCACAACGGACGTCACGAGAATAAGAAATCTTCCTTAATAAAGTTGCTGACATTTGACGGGTATCGATCGAATCGAATTCAACTAAACATTCGAATTCGATATTGGTTCGTGCTAAAGGCACAGTGCAGAGCTCTAAAATTAAAAATGTCTTAAATTATGTTTTAATTTATTTTTTAAGCATTTAACTGCTAGATGTTTAAATCTAAAGAAAAGTTTACTAGAAAATAATCCACGCGGACCAGGCAGCGGACGGGACTCGAACCCGCACCCTTCGCAATCCGGGCGAATGCACTGACCATTATGCTACCACGGCCCTATTCTCTTAAATTATTGTAGCACGTTAAGAGACGCACCTGTTAAGCCTGGTCTCTAGCCCGTGTTTTGCCGTACTCAATAAACAAAAACATGTCGACATTCAACAAAATCGTCTACACAAAACTTTGTTTTTCTTCAACTTTTTTCAACGTTTTCAACAACTTTTCACTTTTGACCAACGATATTAAATACCCTAGATGTGCTCAAAATGTGTCCTTATCAAGAAGTGCTTGGACACCACTCAAGTACTTCGTCTTCGTCTTCGAAAATTCAAGATGCCGAGACAGGAATCTAATAAATGTTTGTTAATTTAACATATTTGTAGCAAATTTTGTTCTAATACTTACTAAAAAGTGATTTAATAAATTAATGTTTGTGATATTCAAATGCATGGTCGGTAATATAGCTGTCTCTTTTCCTCGCGGTCCTCACCTGCTATATCGCTAACAGCGCATTAAGAATTGCGCGTAGAGTCAAAGAAATAAGGTGTATAATCTTACACGTACAGCAGTAAATAACGTAAATTTTACGAGTTTGCTTTTTGAACTGTCATAACTCTTTAACGCATTCGTTTCGTTTATTTCTATTATTCATTTTAACGTTTCAATTAAGGCCTTATACAGTATGCATTAACAAATTAAAGGTGACTTTCAATGTTTCAATAATGCCTTATATTGTTTTTATCTTCGCGATCTAGGCATGCGTCCGATATATCAAAACGAATCCAAAATCCGATTTCAAACACAAATCGATACCGAACGATTTCTCAACAAGAAAATCCGATTTCAGAAATCTAACCGAACCAAAACGCTAGCGATCAAGTATCCAAATGTAAATCGGATTCGAAATTCGTGCTTTCGTTTTCGGAAGTCCGATTTCGTGCTCGGAAGTACGATTTCGTGCTCGGAAGTCCGATTTCGGTTTGCTGTTTACGGAAATCTATTGTTCTTCTCTAAGGCGGGATTATTTATTACTGAAAAAGATGTCGTCTAAAAACATCAAAAGTCGAGCAACTAACATTTTTTTGAACGCTAACCTGAAGTAATTAGGTTTGATTTTGTAAATGGTTTGAAAAATAATAAAAACAAACAGAAAACAAAAAAATACTAAAAAAATATGTAAAAAGAAATCATTGTATATAAGCCGATTTTTAAATGCGCCGCAAAAGTTTTACTTTTATCCGTAAAGATAACTTTTCTGCTAGTCCTAAGCCACAGAATATATACTCTTGCCTAAGCCTAGATTTAAAGCATAAAGGAAAATCGCGCAAATCTACGAGTATCATTGCTTCGTACAATTAATTGTTTGTGATTGTCGTTAGCTAATAAAACCAAATCATAACACAAACCAGTGAATTGGCTAAGTTCGGCACATCTGAAATCGGATATCTAAAAACGGATTTTAAAATCGATTTTGAAATCTGAAATCCGATAAATATCCGTTTGCGTTCAAAACCAAAAACGCCCATGTCTATCGCGATCTTGTTTCGGAGCTCCGTGTATTGACCAATGTAAAATTCAAAATTCAAAATTCAATATCATTTATTCAGTCTAGGCTGTTACAAGCACTTGTGAATGTCGAAAAGCTACGCCATCAGTTCGCAAATCTACGGCGGGAGACCTTGTACTGAGAAGAACCGGCAAGAAACTCAGCAAGGGCTGTTTTTTTCTCCCTGTATTATATACAGAGTCGTCAATTTGAAAAATGAGTTCAATATGAGATAACACATGAAGTCACTTTCCATTACAAATGTAAATGATAAAAGAATTATGACTATAAAATAAACAATATAAAAAACAGATTCAAAAATGAAAAAAAGTTTAGGAATGCCGTGTCCCACTGTTTAGGCATAAAAACACCTTTGTACCTTTTGGACAGGTTACGGCCACGATTTTATTCATGATGTTGTATCTAGGGTATTTAATATCGTTGCTTTAGTCATAATTATTGATGAAACTTGCCAAATTTGACATTTGTTGCACCTGAATCGTAGATTTTGATCTCAGCCCTGTCTATTTTGTGTTCAACTGCCACGTGAACTGTTGACAGCGTGTGTAGAGAAACATGTTTCATAAACAAATTTTGGTGTATATGTTTTCAAAAACCTTTTGCTGGAGACCCGGCTTTAAGAGTGCAGGCGTGTGTTCAGGGCGTCGACCGCATGCGATCTGACACTGGCGGAGGTGCGGATCCCTAAAAATAACCTCGTGGGAGAGGTGGGGGAAGGGTTCCGGATAGCGATGGCGCAGCTCGACCAGGCGAGAGTCGGCATCGCTGCACATGCTGTTGGTATGTATTGCAACCAGTTAATTAATGTCTCCACTGCTGGGGCACAGGCCTTCCCTATGGATGGAATAGGGAGATTGAGCCATGACCCACCACGCAGGCTCAGTGCGGATTGATGGGTGCTCATGACAGTAGACATGTTTTTTACATGTATTATAACATGTAGTGTACAACAAAATTGTTGGATACACAAAATATGTGAAGTAAATAGTGATTTATACTTGTAAAGCTAAAAGTTGTGTATGCAGTGAAAATGAAAGAATGTCACAACAAGTATTCTGCAAGTTTTGGCGTAAAACTAGTGTATACTTGTTTCTTGGTGTAAATGAGGGGTTAAAGAATGAATTTTGAGATAATAACTCTATCTCCTTACCCGGTACTCTGAGCCATTTATATTACTACATTACATCTGAATTGGTGCAGCGCTTTAAGCGCGAAGATGTAACATGCTTTCGCATTCAAAATGCTAGTGACCACCTTTGACTTTGTCCGTTATAACTTCACTAGCAAACCAGTGAACCAAATGTTCACCAAAACCTGATTAAAAAAAATGTATTTAATTAATTGAGAACTTCGGAGATTTTGTGTGGTTTCGTTTCAAATTCGTGGTTTCTCGAAAACCGGAAGTGCTACGTTACTCAAATCCGGTATGTAGTCTTATCAGACTATTCTTAACTTATAACTTAAATATTCTCTTTATCTATCTCTTACGGTTTGGCCGCTGAAACAGCACCACAGACGGACGGACGGACTTGTCTAATAGATAAGAGATGTTTTAGAAAATCCCACAAGAATATAAATTGGCTGATGGTAAGCAGCCACAATAGCTACAGTATATACCTAAAGACGACCAATTACTGGTCGCGACTTTGACCTATTCACCCATAATTTCTATTTATGATGATTTCATGATTTCTAGGATAAAACTATCGTGTATTCTTCCCCGATAGTCGAACTATCTCTTTACCAAATTTAATGAAAATCGATTCGGCAGTTTAAGCGTGAAGAGGTAACAGACAGACAGACACACTTTCGCATTTATAACAATAATATGGATATAGTTTGCGATGTTATTATAGTAAAATTAAAAAGGACTTAACGGTCAGTGTTTCATATTGTGATAATTCAACATTTTGTACATGCAGGTATAGCACAGGCTGCTTTGGACACAGCCATCAATTACGCCAAAGAGCGTGTGGCCTTCGGGAAATGCTTGACAAGACTACCTTCTGTTAAGGTAACAGTTTTATATTTCTGATATTTAATGAAATAATGGTGTTAGCAGATTATCTACACAAAGGGGCCGTCCATATATTACGTCATTCTAAATTAGGGGGGGGGGGTTGGTCTGCGGATGACGGTAAATGATAGATAGGGGGGGGGGGGGGGTTCGAAATTGACGTCATTCTTATTTATTTATTTATAGTTTATTGTTCACGTACAAAAAGATTATTTCTAAAAAGAAATTTCTTCCAGCACACCTAGTAAGTGAGACTGCAAATGTGAGAGGCGGCTAAGGCGCGTACAATACTAAAATAACTCATAATAAACATACATAATGCAACATAGATGTACACAAATACAGTAATAACTACAGATAAAATACTCTAACAATAATATTACATATATTTATTTATTTATTTATTCTTTATGCACAAATGTACAATGGCGGACTTAATGCCGTAGGCATTCTCTACCAGTCAACCATAGGATGTTGTGGAGATTATTAGTGGTAGGGTGCACAACTGAAGTGGAAATCACATGGAAAGAAAGTTTATAAAAATAATAATATATAAACATACACATACATAAGTTAATATATTTGAATAAATACACAAATACATACATACTTCCAAAATAAATACAAAATAATGACGACAAACCACTCAATGAAACGCCTGTTCTAATAAAAAGCTTCGCAGTTTGGTTTTAAAGGTATATTTACTGGGGGACATTCTGATATCTAGCGGGTGATCATTCCACAAAAGTATCGTTTTTACGAAGAAGGAAGAGTGAATAATATCGGAGCAGTGTGATGGAACGATAAGTAAACGATTAGAAGAAGATCGAAGATTTTTACTATGAGAGGTACATATACTAAATACTAGCTTTTCTCAAATCTGCAATGTTTTGATTTTGTCAAACTGGTAATGACGTCAATTTTGGGGAGAAGGGGGAGGGGTCATTAAGAAATGACGATAGGATGATTGTAGGGGGGGGGGGGGGTCTAAAATCTGAAAAATTCGATGACGTAATTTATGGTCGGCCCCAAAGCTACCTATCTATCCGAACCAAATCCCCTAACCCCATGGAGTTCATGAACCTCATTCACCAAAGAAAACATAACGCTACTAGAAGGCAGTGGCAGTGTGTTTTTATTGCAGTTTTCTACCACTTGGGCTTTTTTTAAATAGGTTATTTGACAGTATTAAAAATAAAGTGCCAATTGTTAGCATCTGTGTTTAGAATGAATATTGGCAGGGGTTTTTACAATTTTTTTACAAAATAAATATTCATAAAAACCCACGACAAAGATAATAGTTTTCTTATCTATTGTCACGTGACCCAAAACGCTTGGTATTGGTGGAGCCTAAAATGACGTCACACGCAAGTAAACTTCCGGTTAAGGTGACATTACATTGTATCGTTTGACATTATTAGTAATAATAGTCGTGTGACGTCACACACTAGTAAGACGCCGTATTGTCCAGAAAAACGTTTTCGCGGCTACTTTAAAATGGAGCTGTTGATTTGGTAATTTTTCATGGAATACACAACAGAATGATGAAAATCCACTTTTTACGGACTCCATAAACATTAGTCAATAACGTGAGATAGTTTTCTAAAACTTGTCAAATACCCTATTACGAAATTTCATACAAACTCATCCCCTATTTGAACCAACGAATTAGAAATAATATGGAATAGGATCTGCGCTAAAAGGTGGTTCCACGCATACTGCGATCAAATGGGCGGGGCAAACAATTAGGATTATGGGATTTCCGTTTTAGGTTATTTTGTCCAATGAGTGGATAGCCGAATTCATTTGCAGATACAGTAGATCCTCGGTAGTCCGACAAACATTTTGCAGGGCAGTGTCGAACTATCGAATTTGTCGGATTATAGAGTACTGCCTAAGACCCCCTATAGTCCGTTTTTTTTTACAAAAGAGTACCTTGTAATCCGTCAAATTACAGATCCAATGATAAGATTACAAATCATACTTTGTTATGTATGTCAAATTTAGTAAATTAAACAACACAATAGAAAGATTACGTTTTATTATAAAAGTAACGTCATTAATGCTATAGATTTTACAAAAAACAATACCCTACGCGTCGAGCACAATAGTGATGGTGCGTACAAGTTGTAACTTGTTCAATCGTGAATTAGCGAATACTTGTATGTAATAGACGATGTCGGATTATAGGGGTTGCCGCATTAGCCAGGTGCCGGAATACCGGGGCTCCACTGTATTTGATTTGTCACAGTATTTAGTTTTATCTGTGTGCGTGTCGCGTTAATATTGAAGTTTAGCTGTATGAGTTTAGAAGAAGAAGCGGCCTTTGCTAGAGTAATTCGTTGATTTAAACCCATTAGGACTTGGGAGATGAATTTTCTACAATCTCTATATGTATACTAACTTTCGCATATTTTAAAATCAAAAATCTATTTAAATTAATATTGTATTCTAGGATCGTCTAACCGACATGTGCATACTGATCGAATCAGCTCGCCTACTTACTTATCGCGCGGCTACGCAAGTCAGCACTAAAAACAGCGCGATGGCCAAATATGTAGCGGGGAAGAACGCAGCCTTAGTAGCCGACCATTGTGTACAAATACTGGGGGGAAGAGGCCTGAGCACCAACTACCCTGCCGAGAGGCATTATAGGTGAGGGGGCGGTAATCTAGCGGGGAGGAACGCGACCTAAGTAGCTGATCACCAACTACCCGCTGAGAGACATTATAGGTGAGGGGGCGGTAATGTAGCGGGGAGGAACGCGACCTTAGTAGCTGATCACCAACTACCCGCCGAGAGACATTATAGGTGAGGGGGCGGTAATGTAGCGGGAAGGAACTCGACCTTAGTAGCTGATCACCAACTACCCGCCGACAGACATTATAGGTGAGGGGGCGGTAATGTAGCGGGGAGGAACGCGACCTTAGTAGCTGATCACCAACTACCCGCCGAGAGGCATTATAGGTGAGGGGGCGGTAATCTAGCGGGGAGGAACGCGACCTAAGTAGCTGATCACCAACTACCCGCTGAGAGACATTATAGGTGAGGGGGCGGTAATGTAGCGGGGAGGAACGCGGCCTTAGTAGCTGATCACCAACTACCCGCCGAGAGACATTATAGGTGAGGGGGCGGTAATGTAGCGGGAAGGAACTCGACCTTAGTAGCTGATCACCAACTACCCGCCGACAGACATTATAGGTGAGGGGGCGGTAATGTAGCGGGGAGGAACGCGACCTTAGTAGCTGATCACCAACTACCCGCCGAGAGACATTATAGGTGAGGGGGCGGTAATGTAGCGGGGAGGAACGCGACCTTAGTAGCTGATCACCAACTACCCGCTGAGAGACATTATAGGTGAGGGGGCGGTAATGTTGCGGGGAGGAACGCGATCTTAGTAGCTGATCACCAACTACCCGCCGAGAGGCATTATAAGTGAGGGGGCGGTAATGTAGCGGGGAGGAACGCGACCTTAGTAGCTGATCACCAGCTACCCGCCGAGTGACATTATAGGTGAGGGGGCGGTAATGTAGCGGGGAGAAACGCGACCTTAGTAGCTGATCACCAGCTACCCGCCGAGAGGCATTATAGGTGAGGGGGCGGTAATGTAGCGGGGAGGAACGCGACCTTAGTAGCTGATCACCAACTACCCGCTGAGAGACATTATAGGTGAGGGGGCGGTAATGTTGCGGGGAGGAACGCGATCTTAGTAGCTGATCACCAACTACCCGCCGAGAGGCATTATAGGTGAGGGGGCGGTAATGTAGCGGGGAGGAACGCGACCTTAGTAGCTGATCACCAACTACCCGCCGACAGACATTATAGGTGAGGGGGCGGTAATGTAGCGGGGAGGAACGCGACCGTAGTAGCTGGATGTTGTGAATGTCCAACTCCTCGGAAGCTTTAGGTGTTAAAATTAAAAAAGTCGGTCAGTACAGCCGACGAATTTCCGTTATAGTTCAAATATTTTCGTTGTTTCCCAGGCTGGAGATTACTCAGGCAGCCTTAGGAAAACAGGAATCAATCCCCTTCATAGGTTAAGAGTGCACACGCAGCATGTTTGAATGTCCAATTGTGACTAAAGCGAATAGGGGTGATGACGGGGTACAGTAAACGAAATTCTATTTAGTCCGTCAGTTAGATGATCAAAAAATAATGGACACGTATATTTTCTTTGAGCAATCAACCAAAAACTGAAAAGTTATAGCGCAAAGTTTGGGAGTAGGGGCTCGTGACGTCACTTTTTAGTGAATTTTCACTTAAAAGTGTACTCAAACGTGACGTCATGCGACTTTTTAAATCAATATATCTCTGCAATGTTTATATTATGTGGAAAAAGAAAAAATACGTGTCCAATACTTTTTGATAATCTACCTGATAAACGAAGAAAAGAAAATTAGTCATCATCCCTATTATGGTCATGCACCACAATTTAAGCGGATCACTTTTAAGTCGCGAGTGCCGTATCTTCTCTTTTTGTTTTAATCTAAGCCTAGAACCCATAAGGCGAATATCAATTTACTACAAAATACAACGCATCGTGAATACGGCCTTTGAATGTTGTTTTTATCAAAACTGAGCCACCTTGCTCAAACATTGTAAAAACATTTCACAAAGACAAAAAATGCCTACTTTTGATTTCGTATAGCGTGTTCTGTGGGCTCAATCTGCCTTTTGTTCTGTAATCTGAGAACAGCGCTATCAAGTTTTGTCTATTTGTCGTTGTACAGCAAATTTATAACATTCCACATTCCACTATGGATAGGGTTACTAACTTTTTTTCTATCAAATATAGTATTCTCGAAGCTGTAACTTCTAAAAATATAGTATGCGGTTAAAATATTTACTTAATTTTTGAAATAAATATATTTTTGCTGCTCTTTGCCTTAATAATATAATAATAATTTCTAATATTTTTTAAGAAGGCTTTTACTGTCAAAAATATGCATTATGGAAAATATAATAGTTTCGCATACTATTTCTTTTTTTAGAAATACAGTATTTGATCCCCTAATATTTTTGTTGGTTTAGGTGGTTATGGGTAGTCATGTTCTCTTAAAAGTCTCTTCGGTGGTGTCGTGTGAGGCGGGTCGTTACGTTCCCTAAAATATGTTTGAGCGAAGCGATGGCTGGTTCATGCGTCATGCTCGTGAACGGGTGCTGCCGGCCGAGATGAGTCTGCCCTAACTTGATAACTTTGATATTTAAGATGTAAATGTTTAATTACACCTATTATAAATAACTATATTTATATTTATTCTGTGTGTCACAGCAATATAAATGCAGGTGAACAATCTCTTATCTATTAGACAAGTCCGTCCGTCTGTGGTGCTGTTTCAGCGGCCAAACCGTAAGAGATAGATAAAGAGAATATTTAAGTTATAAGTTAAGAATAGTCTGATAAGACTACAAACCGGATTTGAGTACCGTAGCACTTCCGGTTTTCGAGAAATCAGGTTTTGGTGAACATTTGGTTCACCGGTTTGCTAGTTAATGTATAATTTCACATTATGTAATGAAAGGTGACTTCATGAATCATCTCTGAAATCATTTTTCAACTTGACGACTCTGTAAATGATAAAACAGGGAGAAAAAAACAGCCCTTGCTGAGTTTCTTGTCGGTTCTTCTCAGTACAAGGTCTCCCGCCGTAGATTTACGAACCGATGGCGTAGCTTCTAGACATTCATATGTGCTTGTAACAGCCTAAACTGAATAAATGATTTTGATTATGATTATAATATAGCAGGATACTATATTATATAGAAGGGTTGGCAACCCCAACCATGGAAGGAATTTATCAAGAAATATAACCAAAAACGTTTTGTTTTTATTTATTTTTAAGCATTTAACTGCTAGATGTTTAAATCTAAAGAAAAGTTTTACTAGAAAAAAATCCACGCGGACCAGGCAGCGGACGGGACCCGCACCCTTCGCAATCCGGGCGAATGCACTGACCGTTATGCTACCACGGCCCTATTCGCCGCGTCGAAATTTTCCTAGCCTTAAGCTGCAAGGCAGCGCCATCTCTTCGCATCGTAGGTAACCCACAATGTCAAATGAATACCTTTTTCAAGTATTAAACATTTGAAAGAAGAAATAGCAATTATAGTTATGTTATTATTTTCGTTTTAACAAAAACGTTTTGTTCAATGAACAGGGACGCCAGAGGCACTCAGATCTATGGCGGCGTGACTGACATCCAGAAGAGACTGGTCGGACACTACTTGTTGAAGGAGAACGACGCGCTATGACCTCGCACCGACAAGTTCAAACTAGTCCCTACACAAACTGTAAGACTGTCCCATTTTTTTAGTCAAACTTAATTCAAACGAGGAAATTCCATTGACTCATCGTCCAATATTTTAAAGAGAAATGAGCCTTTTGTATATACGTATATTTATGCATTTATAAGCATTGTGTAACCTATGTAAAAGTCTAAAATGAAATGATAGTGTTCGTTAGATAACTGTAACTTTTGTACTTAATCTATATAACACAGATAATGTGTATAAACAAATTAAACATTCATTCTATTCGTAATACAAACGTGATACTTTAATTCTATTCTAGGCTTAAATGAAACGCATAACAAAATAACTAGCTAAAAGCGAAGAAATTATGCATACTTTTACGAATTTTTACTACTGTGATGCGTGTATTGTTTCAACGCCATCTGTTTGTGTCCTCAGGAATCACAATTAATCGAAATTTGGTAACACAGTATTTATAATGCGATTCAACTAAGAATAGGACCGACTGGACAACATATTGTGATGTCATAGCTGTCAATTCAAACCAAATAGGTAGAGTGGGCAAAAAAAAGCTTTTATTTTAATAAAACTTATTTATTAAGATTAAGTGAGAAAAAGCATCAGATTTGTTAATGACATTTATTTATTTAGATTGACAAAACAAAAACCACCGATTTTTAATAATATTTATTTATTATGACTGTGAGAAAAAACATTAATCAGAATCTAGCTCTTCTATTCCGCTCATCTCTGCATTACCGCCGGAGTAGTTATGAATAATCATGCACTATTACTAGGTCACATACGAACATGCATCCTTTATGTAAACGAAAGTTTGAAATCGAGTTTCTGACCGCAACTTAAAGTGACATTTGGTTGACGATTTAGGTTATCAACCATTAATGGCCAAAGCTCAGTTAGTGAAAAAAATAAAATAACAACCGATATTATTTATCAATATTTGTTATTGTTTGTTTACAAATGTTTGGTTTTTATTCTTGAATTAGCGGAGTGCTAAAAAAGGGTTCCAAGTTTTTTTTTGCAAACCGTACTTTTCAAGCAACATTTGACAGATAGAGGTCTTTGGCTTTCCTATTCTTATTTGAATCGCATTATACTAGCACCATTTCGTACAGATCGATTCCATTTAGTTATTTGCAATTTCTCCGATTAGATTTTATGATATAAAATCGTTGCAGTTGTATCAAGGGTGCGCGTGAGTGATTATTATATATGGAATTCATGAAACGGATACGATCCTGGTTCTCAACATTTTTAAACTCTCGATGTATAGAAATTAGCATTCTAATGAACTACACACAGATAAGTTCCGATCGCAATAAAGTCATAGAAATTTTTGAAACAGGCAACACTACTTTTTACCTGAAGAAGTAGATTGCCATATGAAAAATAAGAAGAAAGTATAGCTCTCACCCATGAGGTAATGAATTGAAAAACATGACGCAAGACATTCTGTCCCTGTCGCGCATTAACCTGACATATTTGCATTTACAATTTATATATATATATATATATACTCTATTCCGCCAATATGTATAAACTTATGCTAAATACTGTTTAAAAATTGCATTACTAAAACTCATAAAGTGTTATTTTATATTTCCATCATTTATGTTTTTTTAGCAATATGTTAAGCGATATATCATATTTTCAAAGAAATTTTGTTGAATTCAGTAAATGTACTGATTTTCTTTAAAACTTAACGTTTACGTTTCTTAAGAATGCCTTAAATATTCGATATTCTTCCTTAAAAGTATTTTGTCAACTGGGGAGCTTTCCGCAACATTTGTTAAAAAACCTCACCTATTACACAAGGCTAATTAAGCATTTTTCGACAATAGAAGCAACTTAGACAACGAAGTTACAATAAATGTGTATGTAAATATGCTACCGTAACAGTGCTCACTGTAAATATGTATACTATATTTCTATGTACTTATATTGATTCAAGTGGTTATATTGTGGAGCTTGGGTGGAGCTTGAGATATATATATATATAATATAATATAGTAGCTTAATCTAATTACATAATTACTATATATATAAATACTAGAACAATAAAACTAAAACTAAAAACCTTAAAAATAAAATTAATAACTAAAATATATTATTAAAAAGAGTCCCTTTAGGCAAGGATCCGAAGATACTGGCAGCGTTACCCCTTTGAATGGCTGGACTAATTCTTTGTCCGAGGTAGCTGCCAGCTCTTCGGTCTCCTGTGATGTCGACTAACCTTTTTGCTATTTCCTTAAATAGCCTTAAAGCGCTAGGACCCCACGGACCAAGGGTCTCGACACCGAATGGGACAAAATCATATTCGGAGCCTAGACCCCTGTATTTGCTTGCTTTTGCTTTTTCAGCCGCTTCACAAGCCGCACCAGCTCTGTTGTTGGTATATATATTGATATTATATACTTATTATATTCTTTAAAAATGTGTTATCAACTGGGGAGCTTTCCGCAACATTTGTTAAAAAACCTCACCTATAAATACACAAGGCTGATTAACATTTTTCGACAATAGAAGCAACTTAGACAATTAAGTTACAATAAATGTGTATGTAAATATGCTACCGTAATAGTGCTCATTGTAAAGATGTATACTATATTTCTATGTACTTACTTACTATATTAATAAGTTTATATAACATTCCACAAACAATGTAAGATACACTGTTTTTTACATAAAAAAAGTCTTCCAAAACTAACAAAATGTTTTAATAGTAAATTTCTTAAAATCCAGCCGCCAGGCGGTCTATCACAAAGTGCCAAAATTCTGCAATCGGTTATGTTTGAACTTAAATGCTAGAGATTAAAATCGAGTGGAGATTTGTGTCAGTTTGTGTGTACATAATTTTATTACAAAATAGCTATTAACTGGATCGTTACCATGTACCTTGTTTTTTATGAGTCTCTGATATTTCAGCACTGTTGCAAGCGCCATGATCACGGAGTAACTGAAGTAATTGCGGGTAGATGTTATTGGCAGACATATCGGTCTACCCTCTGACGTCGTCTTTTACTGCGCTCGCTACCCCTAATATCGGAGACTCATAAAAACAAGTTACATGGTAACAATCTCGTTAATAGCTATAATGTTAGTGACCATGAAAGTTTAAAACAATATTTATTACAAAAGTTTAGTCTTCTACATTTTTTTTCTTGTTAGTGATAACTTTTAAAAGTACAATATCCTTAACTCTGTTCTATGCTATTTCGTTGATAGGTATGTATTTTTTTTGAGTATTGAAAAGGATGATGAACGTATTGTTGAAAATAAAATTTTATTTTGAATATGTTGGGTTTTCTTTTTTTAATTGTACATGTCCTATATAGGTACCTATAGTCCAATTTTCTTAGGATATCTCAAGATATGTCAAAGTTTAAGAACTTGCATTATAATGAAGTATCGTAACGTCGGAATGTTCCCAATAATAATAAATAATATAATTTATTATTATTGGGAACATGACTTTTTTCCACGGATTTTTTCTTACGGTTTTACTATCACATTGGTTCTGAGTATTAAATTTAATTTAAGCATATTAAACGTGAAAATTTCCATTTAAATGGCAAAAATATAAAGTGACCGTCGTAAATAAGCTGTACAAACGTTTTCTCGCAAAATAACAGTGTACGAAAAAGATAAAATAACAAAACAGTTTACTTGCCTATCTCCGTGAATATTTTTCGTTTTTTGAAGACGTGAAGAACACTCAACATTAATATTAGCACCAATAAGTGAAGGATAAAGAAAACCAGAAATATATTACATTTAACAGTGAGTAAACATTAAACAAACCCTTTATTAAACAAACTGATTTGTCCCAAAAGCTGTTGACATTTCTCTAGTAGGGTATACAAACATCAGCTGGTTTACTTATCAACAAACAGCTGTGCGATCTAATACGAATATAACTCTGACGAAACAATATATTTGCGCCATCTATTCACCACAAGGAGGATTACAAACTTAATACCTGTAAAATGGATGAAAACTGTAAAATATGCAAAAAGTCCGATATAAATATAAAAACATTAAAATGCATTACTTGTAATCAGAAGTATCACATAACCTGCGGAAATGTGTCTGAAAAGAGATTTTATCTTATGTCTAAACAAAATCGAGAAAATTGGAAATGTGACGAATGTATTCAAAAAACACATACTCACCATATCATTGAAAATATATCGGTTAATAATTCTTTTCAATCCTTGACTGATGAAGAAGAAGCATATATTTCACCAAAAAATCGATCAAACAGCAGTTGTCCCAACTTAATAAGATTAAACATGGAAGGTAAAATAGATGAACTAGAACGACAAAAGAAAATATTACAGGAAAAATTGGCTATTGCAGAGAACGAAATCGAAAATTTAATATCAGAAAGAAATAATCTAAGACAGCAACTAACAAAACAACAATCAAAAGGTAAATACGTAGCAGATATTTGTAATAGTAGCTCAAAGAAAAATATTACTCACAGAAGGAAAAGAAGTAATTTAAATGGTCGGTTATTGGATTTTTCACAAGAAAATAATAGTCCAACCACTAATATAATTAGCACGACGCCATCTAGTGAAACAAACAAAAACAAAAGTAAAGTATCTCCGGTGCTTAACATCTCAACAACTGGTCATTCAGTATCATTTTCAACACAACCAACAGATGTCTCTTATATTAAGGAGCAACAAAATAGTTCTAAAAAATCGAAAATTTATATAATTGGCGATGATCAAGTATTGGGTCTTGCACAACAAATAAAAAAGGCTCGTTCCGGAAAATGGAATGATAACTATGAAGTTACCGGTATGGTGAAACCCTCGGCATCAAGCTCACAAATATTAAGTAGTTGTACTAATTTAAAGAACTCATTGACTAAAGAAGACATAATTATTTTATCTATTGGTTCAAACGACAAAAGCCCCTATATTGTTATTTCTAACTTATGTAATACTCTGTGCAATTTAAACATTTGTAAAATATTTATATTAAGTGTACAGCATAATAGCTATGTTAATATAAATAAGTAAAATACAAAAATCCATTTAATTACTAAGAATTATGTAAATTGTTCATTCATAAACATTAGGGCACTGACAAAAAGAAATTGGTTAAGCGACATGTCAATCAAAAGATTAATGAGCTTTAAGTTAAATGTAGAAATCGACCATTTAAAGTATGTTAATGACTACATAACAAATGTTACTCAATCTATACAATTATATAAGAGAAACTATATTTCGGGAATTTCTGGCCAGAAAAAGAACCAAACTGCACAACCTAGGAAGGGCACTATACCCTTCTATTTTTCTGCATTAAAAACACCATCACTCAATTTCATACAGCCACAAAAAAATAATGAGACAACTTTTTTTCGGTCCTCAATTGCACGGTAAATTTTGTATTTTGCATCAGAATATACAGGGTTTGTTGTCCAAAAAGGAGGTAATTGAGATTACATTGTCAAAAGAAAATTGTTTATATCCAGATGTCATTTGTTTTTCAGAAACATTTGTAAAGAGAGGGGATGAAAAAAATATAAATATTAATAATTATCAACTTGCATCACATTTCTCAAGAAAAAATAAAAGGGGAGGGACTTGTATTTTAGTCAAAAATGGAATATCATTTAAAAAAATTACCACATTTGATGATATTGCACTAAATTTTCATTTTGAGTGCTGTGCTGTTGATATTCCTGCACAAGATGTTATCATTGTTTGCGTGTACCGGTCATCAACTGCTACGAAACGGAGACACTATGAATGCTTTTTTGACAAATTTGAAACTTTGCTATATAATTTTCTACGTAAATATAATAAAAAAAGACTAATAATATTGGGTGACATAAATATAAATACTCTAATTGAAAATAAATCAACTAAACAAATTACAGATATTCTAATAAATTACAACTTAAAACAACACATAACTCAACCAACTAGAGGGCGCTCATGCCTTGACCACATATTCAGTAACGTTGCAGGAGCCTCTGGTTCTCTAATCCCGCTCTGCCTCTCTGATCATGATACGGCCCAGATACTTACGTTCAATAGCAAAATCAAACCAAAAATAGACAAAGCAATTTTCACTTTCAAAAGATGCTACTCACAGGAAAATATTGAAAAATTCCAGGGTTACTTAAAAAGTTTATCCTTCTCTGAAGTTTACAAAGAAAAAGACCCCCAAACCGCCTTCAATATATTTTATGAATGGTTTTGTCTGCTATACAAACTGTGCTTTCCCATTATTAAAATAAAAATTAATACCGCGAGAAATCTGTCGTGGATAACAAAAGGACTCAGGAAGAGCTGTCTCACAAATAGAAAACTAAGACTTAAACATTTAACGAAATTAAATAGCAATAATAAATTTAAATATAAAAAATATTCAAAATTGCTAAAAACGTGCATCCTTATGGCTAAAAAATCAACAAATAATAAATATATATTAAAAAGTAAAAATGTATGTAGGGCAACTTGGAATGTAATAAAAAACGAAACTGGTCTCGAATCGTATTACAACAATTTTATAGACAGAATTAAACACAATGACACAATTATTGAGGATCCAAATATAATAGCTTCTATTTTTAATGACTTCTTCAGTACATTGACAGATAACAATTCAAATAATAATGATAATTCCAATAATTATTATAATACAAATAATCCTAATAAAAAAAACTTATATGACAACTTAACCAATTCAATTTATCTTTCTCCTATTAACGCATGTGACATTAAGAAAACTATCATGACATTGAATAATACAAACTCTGA